CTAATTTGTCACTAGTGGTGTGTGACAACCACATATATATGGCAAAAGGTATAAAGGATGAGTAGTCAGTTAACTGATTACTTCCTTTATTTTACTGTATTAAACTGTACTCGAGTAAATATTAATAAAATGTAAGCTATATTAGTTTTAGTCTAAATAGCCTTATATTGCGTGGTATAGATTAATAGATTAGTCTTTCACCGTAGAACTCTACCTACGAAACGTATACGTAATCTACTAAATTAACGTAATTCGTTGACGAAGACTACTTTGCGATAGCTAGACTATCTCAGTTCATGTTTTTCAAAAATTCATTATATATAATTATATTATTAAAGCATCATATTAACAAATACATGATTCAATCATAGAAGAAATCGAAATTTTATACTGTAGAAACACAATAATTTTTTGTTAATCATAGTAATCGCTGCTTTTAATGACATCAGCTTAGCATAGATGGCCAGTATCAAGTAGAGAATAGACATAGTTTCATAGAATCGCTGAATTTCAGAATCTAGTATGCTAGTCTGATTGGACATTTGTAAATAATTCATTTTTAGATTAATCATAGAAATTTTTGCGGCCTGCCTCAATTAAATCTATATTAGGAAAACTATCCAAATTTTATACTGCGAAAGAAATGTTATGATAGGGGCCAGACATAACAAACTCACGTCGGTGCCAATGGCGTAGAACACCCATCAAGTGTATGGTAAAAATTTTTGTATTTATAGATTTAAAATGATCATCGCTTACCTTAATTATGTAGTAGAGAGTCACATCAATATTAAATATTAGGACAAAAATACACTTATGTAGACATAATATAAATATAAAAATGGATAAAAAATTAGGGGAGCAAAAATTATAGCAATTAAATAATAAACTAAGAACACTTACTAGCATAAATGTGATAAAATGCAATGTTGGCACCATGCTATTAATGCAAGGCAGGTAGGATTGAAATTTTAGCATGAAAGAATGGAAAAGATATTGGTTTGTAAGAAAGTTTGAAGACAAATTAAATTATTATTCTCCCCGATGCAATTAAAATTAAATATCTACATCGACTATGTTTTAATAATAATGGATGGTACAAGAAATAAAATATTTTGTATCAGTAAAAAGAACAGAATTTTATTTTAATGACCTTACAGCAATACACGTATCAATCTGCGAAATTAATCAACAAGGAAATTTATAATAGCTAGTGAAGCGATTTCAGCAGTCATGACTTCTGCAAGTGCAACAGTAAAAGAAGTTAAAGCACTAGGTGACAAAAAAATAGTTGATAGTGGAAAGTAATAAAGTAATTATAGATGATGGCTGGTATAATGGAGCGAAGAAGGCCATAGCTGACGGCCATATAAAGATCTGCGGTTGAGTAATACTCTGATATGATTCTGAATTCCTGAGTAGAGAGTTACAGCTGAGTATTCAACTATATTTTGTATAGGTAATATGGAATTGTTGTTTAGAGTTTATAAGATTAAAGGGCTATTGATCTTTTTGCTTAACATTAGCGATCGGCAGTGTTTAAATAACCTATATTTGTGATAAGGATTGCTAATCTTAGGTTAAAAGCCCAATCATTACCGTTTGGATTATTTTATTGCTGGAAATTTAAATTTAAATTTTATCATTACTACAAAGTGAGTGTCTAAGCTTTCTCAAATTCATCGATTACAGAGAAAAGCTTCCCTGGATTTTATTTCCCACCATGAGGTAAATTTTCGCCATCTTGAATACATTATCACATTTCCCTTAACATTTACGAACGAACATTTACAAACGTAATTTCTCCATGGTACACAATATAACCTTTGTTATTGAAGTTATTTATTTATTTTACCCTTATTACAGTAATCTTTCATATAATAGCAACATTAACGATCGATTTTTTCGCTGTATTGCTTGATGACCTCGCATTAAAGGCAACTATAAAAGGGTTCGCCATGCTAAGGGTAGCAAGAATTTCGTTACGACGTTTTCGTTGGTGTATTGAAAGTATCGATTGCAACCAAATTATATCAATTTCATATTCGAACAAGAAACACTATTAGTATTGAGCTTTTCAAAAAATGTCCAGAATTCTATTTTCAATGCAGTTTGCGGTAAGCTGTAATTTCGTAATAGCATAACCTAGGCAGTATGTCTTCGTATACTTGAAGAGCTAATACTAAGACTATGGCAGATATATTATTAGAGTAACACCGTCTAGTCTATTTGTTAATCGAAAATTTAAAATAAAGCTATCATAGTTTTTATCTAATCTTAAATACAACATACAATTTTCTTACATTTTCTTATTCTATCCTCTAGATTTTGAGTCTTTTCCTTACTAGCTTGCAAGCCTTAGGTAATGTAAAAACAAAGTGTTATCTTCCTAGCTGCAACAACTGGAATGTAATAAATAAACTACTTGTATTTTGGCTATAGCTTTGACATTTGTAATTTGCTGCACTATCAAAACCTATAACGTCTATTGCAAAATTAATTTTTCATAAACTTTTCTACTCCATTTTCTATCCTTTTAATTTTTTTACCCATATAAAATATAGTTTTTAATCATGATAAAGAAAATCTCATAGAGCAAAATGTCACGGCTCACACATAAAATGCTTCCGCTGTTGTCAATTTGCTGTTCTTTATCACAGATATACATCAGACTAAGGATTTTCTTGCAATTGAATATAGATTAGTTAAATTATAATTTTAAATGTCCTTTTATTCGATACATTCGTTATTTAATGAAGACTTAGATGTTATTCTTGATATCATTACCTCTTTTACAGGGGTTGAGCATTGCTAGTTCAATTCATACTGCAACATAGGCACAAAACTGTCCATACATTTATTTATTTTTTATTTCTTGGCGGTCCAATTAGTATATTTGCAGATACACTAACCTAAGCATTTTATTGTTACATAGCTTTGAAGTTTAATAACAATAATACATCAACTACACGCCAACAAATCTCATACATTTTACGATCGTAAATACCTTAACTATCCGATTAAGATCAGTTTCATTAATGAACTATTTTGAGAGTGATTTTCATACCCATTGCTATTGTAGGTTAGTCGATCAGTTGTGGAGCAAGAGTAAAAAGGGCGCTCGTTTCAGTGCTTTGCATTCTCAGTTTGTGTTCAGATAATATAGTAGCTTCCTTCCAATTAATATTGAGTGGGTTATAATATACAATTACTTCAGATTATTTATCTTTAAAATTCTACTAAATTTTTGCTAATTAAACAATGTATTTAATAAGGCTACTGTAACAAATGCTTATCAGGCTGCAGTACGGTAGGGATAAAGTACTTACATTAGATGTTAAGTACCTTGTATTTCTCAAAATATTTTTCGAATAGTACCGATTTTCATCACGGTGATAGTTTTGTGTGTAGATGTAATGAATGAGATAGATTATTATCAACTTGATTCTATTCTGATGACTGACTTAATTTGAATGATATCATAGTAAGAAATACTACCTGGCTTCTATTGTAGCCATAACGTAACTTATTGTGGTTAGTTATTAAAATTATACATTAGGATATCTTCAAACCACATGACAAAAACTGCGTGCATAATTTCGACAAAATCTCTGACTCAGTTAATGATATTGCTGTAATTCAAAGGCAACACATTGATCAAAATTTTCCTTTAATTTCAATTTGCAAACTTTATTATAAACAATAACTTAAAAAAAGATTACTTAAGCGAATAAAATTCTCTATTATAATTCTTAGAAGATCCATGTTCCAAATCAACAACTTTTGTCAATGATTCTATGGCCCAAAATCTCGATTTATTACCTGATAATCAGCTAAAACGCCCTAGCTTCAACATTTCTAAGCAGAAACATTCTACTTTACGGTGGTATAGAACCAGTGCTCCAAGAAATTGTTTACCTGTGGCTAGATGGATTAATAACGACTTGCACAGTAAGCTCTTACGGCTGCTGTACTGCTATGTTTGCATCCAAGGGTACCTTGTTAACCATACGATTCAATAATTGTTTACAATTGATCTAATGCATTTGTAATTTTTGTTGTACTATTAATATATCATCTAGAATCAATATTAATAGTAAATTACCTTAAATTGCCTTGTAAAAGATTGATAGGCTGTATAGCATTCCAATTCTTGAATAAATATTGCAAAATATAGCCATAATAGAAACCGTAAATTTTAGTCGATGTCTGATCAGTAGTTCCAATGCGTTAATTCTAATCTATTTTATAGAGTCAAAATTAAAATTTCTTTCATCGATATTAATTACTGTATCAAATACATATCCAATGGAACTTATTCATAAAACTAGATGTTGATTACAGCCTTTAAGAATAACAGTAAACATAGTGATAATTAAAGTTTCAGATCTTGCAATAGTTTATAAATAAAAACAGTGTTAAATGTGCATTGGATTTCTCTTAGCTAATTAATAAAGTATCATAAGTTGAACAATCGTCGCAAATTCATATTGATAGCAATTATTACTGTAGTTAAACTAAAACAGACATTAAACAGTTGATTCAATATCATATTTTGTAAGGTAGATAAACAAAGCCATCAAACCAATACGCTGATAAATTTTTTAATTTAACTAAATAATAGATTTATTTCTTTTCAAGCTGTACTTTGCTCATTGTATCTTTCAATTTTCTATCATTAGTGACAGGCACTTCTTATAATTTAATTTACTGTTTATTGCAGATGATACCGGAAGAAGAAATTTATGTTTTCACTTTGGACAAGCACGATGTTTACGTAATATTTCTATTGCCTACAAAAAATGCTCCGATTACATGGTCTATAAAATGGATAAATTATCCGTGTCTTACTTAAGTTCTTGCAGTCATGTTGAAGGTATTTTGGATTTTAATTTAATTTATTTAGCTATCAGAAAACTCATAAGAAAGACAACTAGAATATTATTCATCTTCAGAACAATGCTTAATGTTTAATTTAAATCTTTTCATATCAAAATAAGATAATTGCAATCAGAACCCTTGCCAAAATGGAGGAAAATGTAAATTGATAAAAGGCGGCACTGGATATCAATGTCAATGTCGACTAGGGTATCACGGAAAAACTTGTCAGATACGTAAGTAACGAGGAATTTGTAAAATATTCATGCATATAATTAAATGAATTAAAGCTTTACGACTTCGTTCGACGTATCGCAATAGTATCAAATGTTAGTTTGTGGATAATGCAATATTTTTGACAATGTTGTAGCTTTCAATGTGTCGACAGAAATTGAGCTAGTTATTATTGAAACACTGGTACAATATCTGTGCCAGAAAATAGACTCTTTATTCGCTGATGATAAAATTATTACATGGGATAGTTGCTATAGATCAATGTGTAAGCTGTCTTAAAAGTATCCGAGAAAAACTAACACGGCAATAATTGCACTGTATGAGATATGAGTCAGAGTTCGGCTATTGTAATGACCGAGTAATAGTTTTTTACTATTACTGTAGGTTCGCTACCTCTAACTCTTAATCTCAATTATTTAAGTTGAGCAAATCCTTATCATATGCAATAAACCGTCACAGCCGAGAGAGTAGTTTTAAACTACGTTTACTATTCCGCCTGAGCGTGGCAGTGAATTCTATTTTCACCTCTCATATAATCAGTCGAAAACGGTTAAGATAAATCGGATAAACGGACTTTAGATTATTTTTACAAGCAATCATTTCCATACAGAATTATATAGCATAAGCTTACATCCTATAGTAAACGTATTAATCTAATGTTATTAAAAAACAGAAATCGACCCTGGTTAAGATGAAATAATTAACTTTCAACACGTAACTAATAGTTTATCAATATCTATATTAGAACGATAGGTTACACACATATATAGCTATCATCAAAATAGCATAGATTAACATCATTGAAATCATTGCAGCTATATATATAGTTTTAGAGGCATAGAATGCATGCAGAGAATAAGATTGTAGCATTAAATGTAAAATATTGAATACTATAAGTATCGAGTACAAGGAAATAGAGATCTATTCAAAGAAACATGTAGGACAAATTTCGTCACTCTTTCTAGATAAAAACTCAACAGAAAAATCGTTCAGATAAAGAATATAATTATCAGACATTGCTCTAGTTGTGATCGAAATCGCATTCAGAAATTCATTTTCTGTGCATTATTAAAGTCTTTTAATTAATTTAAATTAAATTGAGGTTTTATAATTAATTCTACACGGCATAAAATCATATAATGTAATTCTAGATTATTGACATATGGCATCGATCATTTTATAATACAGTATTTCTAAGAAATTTTACTAAAATAAATTTTTATCATGTGTAATTTCCAGGTTCTTGTTGCCCTAATCCTTGCCAATTCGGTCGATGTATTACCGAAAGAAATGGTTATTATTGTCAATGTCAAGCCGGATATACTGGAAATTACTGTCAAAAAAGTAAATGATACTGTATAAACATTCAATTTTCATATTTACACGTTAATTTCTCTCAGGAAAGATTTGATAAAAGTTTCTAATAAGAAAGATCTTTATATTTGTATTAGTAGATGCTTTATCCTGAGCACCGATATAAGTGTAGTATCGTAGCTTTGAAAATTTCATTTATTTCTGTTTATCAGTTTTGTAATTTCTCATTTCTGGTATTTCCTATTAGCCTGACAGTGAAGAATTTGCTGCAAGCATTACTTGCATTAACGTATTTATTACGGAATAAGGGTAATAATATGCTTCATCTTTAAATAACTGCAGAAATTTTCGACCCCTGCCAATCAAATCCTTGCCATAGTGGCGTATGTATTTCTGAAAATAATACCTATAAATGCCGATGTTATCCTGGTTTTCACGGAGAAAATTGCGAGCGACGTAAGCAAATTTTCGTAAAATTCTTGTTTCTAGCAGCTAACAGAAATCATTATTAAACTTTCTGTAAGCTATAATCAAGATAGACCAGAATAGCTGTATGATAGTTGATTGAAGATTTTAAGAGAGTCCCTTAAAAATGTCACACAGAAATCTATACCTTATAGTGATGACTTAAATATAGGATAAATTCAATTTTGATGTTCATTTACAATTGAAATTTCAGATTACTGTCTACCTAGTCCATGCCAAAATGGTTTGTGTTCTGCAAATGCAACAGGTTATAAATGTATCTGTAATACTGGATACTACGGAAAGAGATGTCATTTGCGTAAGTACCATATTCAAGAGTTTTAAAATCTCCAAGAAATAGTCACTTTTATATTTGTATTCGATTTAATATAAATTTAAAAAAGTAACATTTTCTGTCATGCTAGATTACTGTCGTCCTGATCCTTGCCGACTTGGCATATGTGTTGTTAAAACAGATGGCTATAAATGTCGTTGCTTACCTGGATATCATGGAACGAACTGTGATAGAAGTAAGTGAATATACATTAATGCACTTTATATTAAGCTCAGAAGCAGCGTATATTAATAAGAGTTTCATAAAATACTGAGATTCCTTAACCCAGAGTCAAACTTACTACATCAGATATACAGTATTGCATCCAGCAGTTTATAAATTGGCCCTTTTCTGAATTGAAATTTAATAAAATTAGAGATTACACTGTTTTTCAGATAGCTTACGAATAATAAAATTGAAACCAGTTGCGTTAGAAAGGCATATGTTTTTAAACTTAGAGCTTAAGTACATTTTGCCAAAAATGATACGACGCAACATAGTTTCAGACTAATTCAATTCTCATGATACTGTATTCACGTTTAAAAATAACGCCTTCCAATTCTACTGCATACATTGATCATAAAAGTAATCCTTGATCGTCTGCCGTACCTTGCTAGTTATAGTTCAGCTAGTTATATGAGTGAGCTGACACATTTTAACTTTTCTACCTTACCATAGCTGCAGGCCTAGGCTACATTATTTCAATATTAGGACCTTAGAGAGTATTTCCTTAACTGTAACTGTAGTTAAAGGCATTATCTTTTTCATTCATCATGTAAATTTATTTCTATGATAGTAGACTCAGAGTTGTCTCAATTATTTCAGAAATATTACGCCACTCATTCTAGAACATTAGGTAATTGTCTTTATACTTGTTGTTGATACTATAATTCACGTTTGTGACTTTATAATTTTTAACTAGGTTATTGCGATTCCAATCCATGCATTCATGGTAAATGTTACAAGACAATAAACGGTTACCGCTGCCAATGTAAACCTGGCTATTATGGTGAAGGTTGTCAAAGTAGATAGAAATCCATCAGTTACTATTTACATGCTGCTTTCTGATAAAAGAATAACAATAATAATAGCTGCAGTACTTGAGTAAATTGTTAAAGATTATCCGAGATCGTAGATTATAGGCTCGGCATATGATGCAAATATGCCTATTTTAGTATTGAATGTATTTTATATCGAGACAATCTATTTCTTTTTACTAGCTGCAGACTTCATCGAAGAGCTAAATTAGTATATTGCTGTAACGTACTGTACTGCTAGACAGAATAATTTGTACATTTGATTGATTTGTAAAAACGGCAATGCCGTCCTAAACTGAATTTATTGATTAGCTAAACCTATTTTCAGATCACTGATCATGGTTCTGTATAGCAAGAGCGTCTTACTTGCTTATACTATTGGAACTCTTGATTAAACTTTCCTCTATAAAACCAACATCGTAAAGCTGTTGATTCACCTTTCACACACGATATTTTATAAGTATTGATTATAGCGTGTTGATCGTAATTTATTTGCTACACGCTACCGAAGAAGTAACAATGTTTACAGTTTGAAATTAAAATGAAATTATTAGTACGTGAGTTATCTGAACAACTAATAGATTATTGCATAATGATTAGATTTAAATTAATATTTATGAAATTTTAAACCTTAAAATTTTATGTTACTCTTAGTGAATCATTTATTTGTGCTTTATATTTTCTGTATTACATAACTGAATTAGAATATTGAGTGGGTTAAAATTATTCTTTAATCTTAAAGATTGTAAAATAAATGTTTAAATTCTTGGGTAGCCATATAAGCACGCCCATAAGAACAAATTTAAGGAGAAAGTAAAAATTTAATAAGAGAGTAATCGAGTTTTATTGCACAATCTTATGGTGATTTAGGACACCGGTGCTTTATTCAACCCTTGTTAAAATAGTACACACGTTATATTAACGAAATAGATAAAATTATCAGTGCAAACAAGATACTTTGTGAAAAATGTGAATGAAGTCAATTTGCTTTGCATTAATTTTAGAGAATTTCTCGGCTATCGTTGAAAAACATGTTACAATCTAGATAGCAATAACAGGAAAATGAGATGCTAATTGAATAATTTCGCCTGTAATTTCGAAATAGGCCGCCATGAATCTGGAAACCAACTAAGTGAAATACTTTATTATATGCAATATTAAAGATCGAATATATCGTATACCATTGATGCCTATCACTAAATCTTATACCGTAATCTAAACAATCTTTACTTTATTTATTAAATGAGACAATAGTTGTGTTCTTGAATAATCTGAAAAGTAATGAAAAATCTATTGAGTACAATTACTTAGCCAATTCCATCATCATGGATCTTATCAGGATCCAAAATCAATCTCAGTGTCAGATTCTTAAACGAAATTAATTGTAGTAGTAACATGAAAACGCTTAAACGACAATAAAAGTAAAACTTTACACTAGCGAAATGACAGAGCTAAGTTGTGAATGGATATAACTCTAGCATTAAACTTGATGATGCCGATTTAGAACAGAGAATCGGTGTCGAGTTGAGTTCAAATATAGTTTCATAAATTTTTGAATTTTAAATCTCGCATACTAGGAATATATTCAAGTGTACTGTACTCTATATACGAGTAAACACGCCATTTTAGAATTAATTATAAAATTTTCAGCTTTCTGACTGAATCAGAATTAATTTATAGCAGGTAAATGTATGGCGATATTATACAGCGCATAGAAAATTGTGATAGTTACTCATGCATAACATACTTTACCGATGAAAATCGCATACAATCCATCGAGTGTAGAGTGCAATGGTAACATTTATATAATAAGATTTTGAAGTGATCATTGCTTACTTTGCTTAATTAATAAATAGCTTCATATATATTATAATAGGTATGTTTTTTCACATTTGACTAGAACTGATTATTAATTATTTGCCTTAATTATGTATTAAATAGTCTTATGTATATTATGATAGGACTATTGTATTTATGCCATTATACAAATTTAATTGGGCAAATAAACTCATTAAAAAAAAATGAACTGATTATGTAGTAGCATAGAATACAAAATCGGCATGGTAATTGCCGTCGGATGGTTAAAGTTGAGATTATATTGCCAAGCATGGAGAAGGCTAATGTCTTACATTTAGAAAATTAAAAGATAAACAGTTATTCCGTTGTATATGGTATTAAATGATATTACTATATGAATTTTAATAATATGTATTGTACATGAAGTGAACTATCAGGCAATAGCGGATACTTGTAGGAGAGAATTCTTTTATGATGATATTGTAACAATACACGCCGTATTACAATTTACAAAATTGTCTCCATGTGAAGCTATGATAAGTAATAATTCACATACATTCCGATTATTACGTGGAAGAAAATTCAAATTTTATCATGACCAAAATTCAAGTACTTCGCTTTATTAGCCTATTAATCATGCCGATAAGTTTTAGGAGCTATTTTGTTTCCCGCTATAGGTGCAAAACTTTTGTCTACTTGAAATTAATGCAGTAATACTTATATCCCCGTAAATATACTAAAGTCACTATAGAACACAATATAACCTTTATTATTGATATTTATTTATAATACCCTCGGTAATCTTTCATTCGTTGACGACTTAAATTATAACATTTTGTTTGCATTCTCGATAGGTCCCTATTACAGGAAATTGTGAAAGGGCTAATCATGCTAAAGTAACTAAAATTTTATTAGACATTTATTGTTGGCGTTTTCAAAGTGTAGATTGTAATCAAATTGTATCAATTTAATATTCAAACAAGAACACTATCATCATCTTGTGCTTTTCAAATGACGTTCCGGATTATATTACTGCTGCAGTTTTGTGGCAAGCTACAGTTTTGCAACAAAATATGCAATTATTTTTTGGGTAAATACGCATTTTGCTAAAATTTCACCTCGCGACTTGCCTCTAACTTCTAATAATGTCTACGTGATAAGAGAGGAAATTATAAACACCATTTGCAATCAATTGAAGATTGTCGATGAGTCATCTGGCCATATTTTAATCGACGGCATTTTTGGTAGCGATAAAACCATTGCTGCTTGCCAATCTATACACGAAGCGTCAAAAAAAGGCTATTTTAAATCAAACGGTTGTTATTGGATGAATGTTGGTAAGTTTGTAAATTAGCATAATTTACAATTCCGTTTAACGGTTTCAATCTTGAAGAAGAATAGCTGATATTGGAACTGCATTTATTTTAATACATAAAAATAGTTGTGTAGTCGATGAAATCGAAGAAAGATATAAAATATCATTCAAACTTAGACTTCTGCTTAATGATAACAAGTGCCTAATTTTCAAATTTCCATATCCCAAGTAAATAATTGAAATAGGATAAGCGTAGACATGCATTTTAAATACCTTAAAAGAAATTGATAATCGCACACTGTATACCATACTGACATTTAGGTGCTAATCGTTACTTCTCTGCTCAGGTAATGTATCAAATAACGAGCAATTTGTTCAGCTCAAGATACTGGGAATAAGTCTTGGTTTAAAGTGGCAAGAATCCTTTCAATTTATTTATGAAATTTTTGCCTGTCTCCGTAGTTATGTACGAGGTGACTATTTTGTCTTCCTTACTCACTAAATTTAGCTAATATTAAGTTACACTGCGATACTGATAATAAAAAATTAACTCTTTTGGAAATAGTCAACTATCCGACATACTATTTTTTGTTGATGGCATCTTGAAGAAGAATCATTACAACTATTTGTCGTTCGCTAAAGAGTCGATTGCGACTTCACGGTTTATGCATTATGAAAATGAGATGAGCCATCTGTCACAAAACAGCTTTCGTGAACGTACCTTAAACTACTATCTACTCTTATGGTTCTCCGACTAACTCCGGAGATCCTCAGTAAGGGAAAACTAACTTATTCCTATACTATAGTAATCAAGTCAAAATGATAGGTTTAGGTTAATCAATATCTTCATTACTAGCTTGCTTACGTTTGTACCAGTGTACTCTACGTTAGCCTTAGTGGAACTGAGATTAAAAATTAATAATAAAGCTTATATACAGTTTCATATGTCAAACAAATAAGATCAGTGCTAATCTTTCACATTAAATTATAGAATATGCAATACAGGCTTACTATAGATTCGACTAGATCGAGTGTTACATATTACTTGCCATAAATTAATATTACTAGTGCAAACTTCCGTCGCTTTGCTGACGGTTTACGATAATGTGCTCATTTAACAGAAAGTATTATCATTTGATAGACCTGTCAGAGGTTCAGTAACTTTATACTGTATATCCACGCTGTATATTACTACGATAATTAATAACAAACTCAATTAACAACTAGGTTGTTGTCGAGATCGGCAACCTCCATAATAACATTATTACGCATATTAGATCAAAATATTATTCATTTCGGGGCGAACTCCGTCACACCATCATTGCATCCGTTTGCGGGTTGGTATTTTAATTGAATTTTTGTATCTAATATGATGTTATGTTTGATGAATGAATATTAAAATAATAATGCCATTGGTACGGCAGTACATACGAGTACATTAAACTTCACATGTATAAAGAGAATGTTTCTATAACTAACATCATAGTTGTTTACTGTGCTATGTTTTTCCAATAAATAAATCAGAGTTCTTTTAGAAGAATTTAGAATTTAGTTTCACCTTTCAATATAAAACAAATCTAATTAAGCACACGGAATTAAAGATTTATACTACAGATAATTTCTATCAATTTATTTTCACATTTTGTTATCAAATAAAAGATCAAAAGCAATTTGATGAAAAATTAGCATTATATCGAATGCTTTTTCTGCGCATAGAAGCAACTAAGCTATGATGAATCGATAAAATTGCTAACACTACGATGCCAAGAGCATAATACTCAGAATTTACATGAAAAACAAGTTGTTAGGAGAATCATTGAAAGTTGTGATGGGCTACCATTGGCTATTAGTTTAATTCTGGGCCTGTAACTGAAAACTGAAAAAGGCTGAGTTAGAGTAGAAGCGACCCTTGAAAGTGAATCAGTGTCAATGAAATATGCAAATTATAGTTTCAATCTTCACGGAATGCTACTATTAAGCCATGAATCGCTGAAAAATAGAAAATTATTAAAATATTAGGCAGTTTTACGCCAGTCGATATTCCTATTCAATCTATTGCATCAGTTTGGGGCCTCAATCTAGAAGTTATGAATCAGATCTTAGAGGAAATGAATGACAAATCATTACTAAAATATATGAAGGAAAGCAGGTAAGCAAGAAGTTTAGAATTTATTACGTTTCTGATGTAAAAGTTTTAAAATTAACTACAGTGCCTTAAAAATTTCCAAATTATTCTTCTTGTTTGTAGATGACTGTAAAATAAGTTGTATTAAATAGAAGCAACGTTATGCTATTCTATATTCAACATGTAAAAAACATAAATTTTCACTGTATTCAGGATATAGCTAGTTACCTTAGCACAATGTAAGGTTGTAATAAAGGCCTAGAGGACTACTTAGAGCCTTTACTTCTTTAAATAATGTGACTTTTTTAACATTAATAACATTCCAGTTATTGCTCTGTTGATGTAGAATTTAGACGATATAGATCAACTGTAGGTGTTGATATCACTACCCTACGCAATTTGCTTGAATTCTCTTATAAGTGGCACTTGATTCTTTCAATTTCTTATATTGAGAAAATAAAGAATTATGAAGAAGAGGTATTTACAACAACTTTACTCTATCATGCATAAATATCCTCGGTGATTCTTGCTCTGTAACTTGTAATCAGCCATCGCTATCGGTACGGAAGATGAAGATGCCAACCAGCATCATTATGATAAAGGTAAACAGGTAATATAATTTAATGGACGTAATCTACATTGCAGAAGTAGGATTATCATCAACATCGTCTATCTAGGTGCATCCTCAATCATCAAGGTGTATCCTTTACGGTATTTTTCATGGCTTTGCCCTTAATTACAATGGCCTTGATAGACATTACTCAAAGTATTAAAGTAGAATTGATTATGCCAACTTTGACTAATTACAGATAGTCAACTTCCCAAGAAGATGGTGAAAAACATAAGGAATTACTAAGATGTTAAACTGACTAAAACAATACATGTTACGGTCAAAACCCGATATTCGGCCAATACGATAGTTTGATAGTTTGTATGTGGACAAGGTAGAGGAGTATGAATGAGAAATTCAATTTGATAGCAACATTGGGTATGCTAGCGCTATGCATACAAAGATTGAGCTATAAGAATGTTGATCATATATATTAATATGCTCACTGACTGGAATAATAAGGTCTTAAATGAACTGAATGATAATCAAATGACTAATTACGAATCGTATGGTTACCGCATACTGTTTCTCTATTGAAACCTTTAAATGAAGCAAAATACGTTGCAAAACCGTTTACCATCACTTGTTTGACTTTAGCAGTGCCAATAAATGTTCTTAAACTATGGTAAGCTCTAAAAGTGTTTTCAATTTACCGTTCCTAAATTCTAATTTTATTTGCATGATAATAGCTCAAATTCAAAAAGTAATTCAAAATAATTTATTGTTGTTTCTTTCTTCGCAAACGGTGCTGTTACATTATTCATTAAATTAATGAAGTCAAAGTGAATAAGCTGGTCGCATGACAATCGAATAAATTCCTTTTCCTACTTTCCGTTCCTATCTCACTCTTTCCGCCTTTTTGACAGGCAAATTTATTACTTACTTTCTCTTCATCAGCTCCATTACACCATTAGTTTGTGTATCAAGAACTGTGTATCCCGTCTTTCCCAATAGATCAAGCAGGAGAGAACTGGTACGGATAAACGTTATCATTCAAAATTAATTTTTTAAGTGTTCATCCCAAATTCTCTATATTTATTTTCTTCCGTGTATTATATGCTGCATGTTTGTCATAAGTTTGACGCCCCTTAATTCCATTCTTAACTTAACATTACTCGATAGCCCATGTTCCAGTTTTTAACCTTCGCTTGTGATTTATTTTATTCTGATACAGTATTAAATTTCATAATTGAACTTACGTATTGAAAGATATTTGTTTTAAAGCCTAATATTTCTTCACTAAGCATCAATAATCATTACAAATAATCTATCCTAGATAGAACAGCGCTTTACAGTACTTATTTTCATGCCAAAGTGCACTTCAAGGAAGCGAAAAGACATCCAAAAATGGAGCTAATACGTTAGCGTAAATAAATTAGATTGCCAACCCACTATCTTAAACGCAGAGATGAAAACACTTTTTCTTCCTAATATTTTATCGCTTTAGTCTTAAATAGCTTACAGCGAATTTACTTTAAGGGTTTATGAATGATAATTAGGGGTTTATATAGTCCATCAGTTTCTTCGAATATGACTAGTATCATTTTGTGAAGTTGTACGCTCATGGATAACTCGGTAGGTGACTGCAATCATTTCAAGTTATAAACACATATTTAGGTATAACTTTATCAGTACAATAATCTAATCTATGTTTTTCTACTCACTATTCCAACATCCAAAGATCATGCTGCACTTAGTTTTCAGTGGTCTGGGTCAGGCACCAAGCAAATGCAGTGATTTCAGAGTTAGAATTGTTCACAAATGGATCTTATTTATAACAGACTATTTGGCCTGATAAGTTGTCCTTTTACTACTATTTCGACTCGATAAAGCGTACACGATTGACATAAATTTAGCGGATTCTTCACGTATTTATGTCACAATTTCACTTCTGCGACAAGGTAACGTACAGTAAAAGTCTATAAGTAGCTACTGACTTAAAACGTCCTTTTACTTAACGTTAAACACACACAGCAAAAGACTGTAAAGATGAAACTTTTATTAGCAAAGATACATCTATAAATTTTTACCACCACTGAACTCAAATGTTCCCGTTTATATTGGAAGCTTCTAATTTATAAGCAACTACAGTGTTCTTATTATACCTTACTAGGAGAAACATCTCGAACTGAGATGTTCCTTACATAGCTTTTCTATCAGTAAATATTTTAAATCTCTTACTCATACTTAATCTAAATCTAAGCTCGTAGGTTGTCTAATTCAACTATCTTCAACTAGAACTTTAATCATCTTACTGCTATCTATCACACAAGAACAATTAATATTGAATATGCAATGAACTATTACAAACAACATCCATGTTAAGGCATTACTTATCTTACCTAGCACTACAAATATGGATATTCTCCATACTAGCTACTACTGTACTTAGTAAACTATCCTAATGACAAGGCAACACCGTAATAATTTAAACATATTATTTGTCTCAACAAAGGATACAAAAATAATAATTGTAATGTATTTGTGATGTTACTATTATTATTTAGTTGTCTTACTGCAGTTGATGGCTTATAAGAAGTTAAAAGAAGACTATTATTCTTATAGCCACTCAATATTTTTTTAAAGTTAATGCAAGTAATAACTGGCTTTGATGAAATAGAGTACGAGTGCACAATTTTAGCGATATATCAGGCCATACTAACTTATTTCATTATCATAGTTTGATGCTTTGATGAAAATATTTTTCATCTTCTATGAGTAACATATGCCAATATTAGCTTATGTGCGTGTATCCAGTGCGGTACTTCTTGCATGCATTAATCTTTATCTTTGGCAAGCTCGTTGTCAATCGTTCTATTTCTTGCATTATTCAACCTTTGTTCTGTCTAATCAAATATTATATACGGACCTATTAGAATTGCTAACATGTATTATGTAGAAACATATCACGTTGCCGTCCTATGTATCATTCGTTTATTAAGTATAAAATGGCCATTCTTACAACTGCTGACTGCAGTCATCGCCAGTGCAAAATTTAAATTATCAACATTCAATGGCTACCAGTAGAACTGAAATGTTACAAAACGCTTATATTTTTTTTTCAGCTGAAAAATTAACCTTAAAGTAAATACAAAATGATCATTTTAGATTCTTTCTCCATCGTGCTATAGCGACCATATCAATCAGTCTACTCAAAATTTCAATTTTTGCTCCTAATATTACCGCAATTGTCAAGTTTATCCATACAATGAAATCAATTAAATGTTTATCTAATGATATAACAAAAAGTTTAGTCTAAAAGAATCATTGTAATGCTGTAAAAGAACCATAACTGCGATATCTGGCTGAAACTACAGTTATCCTCTAAAACTTAGTATTTCATTTTCGCCATAGCTAATTTTAATTCACATCTGGTGTACGTATATACTGTATGTAATGCTCCAAATTTATCTTAAATTGGATCTTGCATATTTTTCATTTAGGAGTAAGAACTACATTTAAAATGGTTGTAAGCAAGTATATTAAAAGTGTGATCGACAAAAATTATTTAGAAATAAGGGCAATAGTCCCTTTGGTAGATATATCGTATGATTTGCGGGCTATACAAATCCTATCCAATGAAGAAGTTGAAAAGCTAAGAGATGACTGTAAATCTGACAAAGAACGAGCCTTTGAATTCCTAAAAATACTGGAATCAAGCAGTGACGAAAATTTTTATCAATTCTGCAGCTTACTAAAAGTGAGTAATATTCGAAATGTTCAGAAACTTGGCGAGCGATTAGAAAAAGAGGCCTATAAAACTACAGAAATAAAAGGTAACCTTATTGCTTGTCAAATTAGGTATCCTTTTCAAAGTATTTATAACAAGCTTTCGCTAACTATTTCAAAAATATCGCTAATTATATGCTTTACATTCATTACATATTTTTATATTAATTTAGAACACTCTAAAAATCATTATCAGGTACTGAATAACCTACATCAATCAATAGAAGGTAATAAGGATCGTATACTGCTGTAACGTAGAGTTCTGGAATTTGCATAATTCGTTCTCTGTTTTACAAATCAGCCGATTGTTTTACTATGGAATTTCACTTTGTGTATTCCATAATTAAGATTAATGCAGATGCAAAGAGGTATCTCTCGGTTTTATTTTCACTCATTGTGCACGTAACATCGTTCTCTTTGTATCTAACTGCTAGAAAATCCTATTTTGCATCCTTTTCGCAACATGATATCCAAGTTGCTCGATTGGAATTCACCATCCTATACATCATCCTCACTAATCGGTGTGTTCTCTAACATTACAGATATTAACAACTCGCTTTATTTTTCTTTTCCTAACTTGCATGAGCTGTCCAGTTTGTATATAGCCTGAAATCTCCCAATAATTTATTAAATTTGCATTCAGTTAATAAGGATAATATAAGTTCTCAACGACAACAATAAATCTACGGTATAATTATGGTCAAAGTGATGGTTGATTAATATTATAATAAGTTACATCTTTCAGAATGAATACAATTAAAAGACTACTTTTAAGCTCACGTAGATTACTATACAATTAATCGTTCAATCCGAGAATTTCGTTGTTTGATACAGGATTGTAATTTTAAGATAACTAGCTAACTACAATTTCGATCTAGATGGGACTTTGGAATCAAGTTTCAATTCTTTGGATGAAGATAAAATGCGATTATTTGAGCAGTTGGCTGTATTTAAGCGAGTCAATATTCCCATTCAATCTGTTGTATCGTTATGGAACTGCAATCAAACGAAAGCTCATCTTTACTTAACGGAAATGAATAATAAATCATTACTTACTTACGAGTATGATGCAGACAAGTAAGTTTAATCAAGTTTCGGAAAGTTAAGTTAATTGAGGGATCTCCAATTTTGTAATGCGAGATATTTAACATACAAAGCATGACCGAAAGTGTAGTTGCATATGTATTTGGTTATTAATATGGAATGTACAGATTTAACGAGTCTAAAATAATTTAATAACTATTTTAAATTCATTATGGCTGTATTTGCACGTCGAATAAGCTTGATGTAGCTTGCTTTATTCAATCTTTTACCTACAGAGCATACTTTTTTATCTACCTATTAATATACTTGAATTCTATTTATAAAGGAATCATGATAGTTACGATAATTGGTTGTTCTAATTTCTGACTACATAGGCTTCTATTCAGTATTAATTCTCCAAATACTGTACAGAATATGATCAATCGTTAGTTATACAGTAGGTTGATAATATTGCGCCATTTAGGTTCGTGTAATTTTTTATCGTTTTAGTAAACGACGTCGCAAAATACAATTTAACTCCAGATGTCTTTATTATACAACTCTGTCAATCTATATTATGTATTGTGTTCTCTCCAGTAGTCATTACATGAGCATTGTCTAATGCACAGAAGATATTCTACACAGTAAATTCAATTCTAAGCCTCTTCGATTAGGCTCTCAGATTTAGTGAACTCCTTTTATTGAACTAGCTATCGGTCTTTTCAATTTGCTACAATTTTATCTGATAGTAAATTATGATTATGATTACGTTTGACGGTAAATTATGATTTCCTATTCTCTAAAGTAATTTGTTTCTGTGATCCAATTGATCTGAAATTTCCATCCTATATGTTCTACTCAATAATATGAGTCAGTGCTATTAAATAGATAGTTTTACATGCGCTATACAGTACCTGCATTCATTCTCATGCAACATAATGCAATGCAAACAACACTAAAATGAATAGCCTTGCATTAACTACTGTATATAGTATTAATTCCTTTTATTTCCGTTACTTTGTCAAGATCTTACTGTGTTTTACACGATTTGATGGTGGACTATCTACACCAACGACTCTACTCACAGACATCCAGCCAAGATTATTGCAAAATACTAAACAAAATGTTGATCGATGGTTACCGTAAGCAATGCGATGGACGGTGGAATACCTTCCATGATGATGGCTATTTCTATCTTAATCTTATTTATCATGCTTTAATAGCTGAAAGTAATGAAGATCTTCAAACTATTATGACTGATTTCAATTGGATGAAATGTAAAATCCAATCAGACAAAACGATCTATAACCTCGTCTGCGATTTAACAGACTATATCGACTATCTAAAGGAAAGAAAAGAGGTACCATACTGAATTGACGTTCTTAATTTGCTAGAATGGAAAGATTGATTACTTTACAAGCGCTTTTTCTCAAAATAGTCCATAACCAATATCGTTTTAATGGTTAATTTACATTCAGAACGGGAAGGACCTTCGTCAACTCGTGGTGCTTCTCAAGCAACAACAACCTCGCCTAGATGCTGTCGATGCAGATATCATTAAAATGATCTTATGGGATGATATGTCAGATAGTTGGATGAAAAAACGAGCTTTACAATTAGCTAAGGAAAATGTGCGAAATGGCGATGACAATTTAAGTTACTGGAGCATGTCAGAGTAAGTAAACTACTTCCAATTTTATCAATCCATCGTGTTACTACCTACTGTAATTTACATTATACTGCCTGTTCTGACTTGCAAATAGGTGTTCAACTGGTGCAACAACGACTGAATATACTTATGATGTATGCCAACGATTCGGTAAGAATGAACACGACAAATTTATATCAGTTTCGAATCCCGACTTTGGACCTTTGCGAATAATTGGTAGTGAAAATAATGGTACACAAGACTTGCAAATTGTGGTATGTTGGTATACGATAAATAAATGCCTAAGGTTAATAATTGACTATCGTTGAAATAGTGCTGTAAACACAATCAAATCAGTCACAAAGATCGACTCACAAACTGCCAATAAAATCAATGCTAATTACTTGTTACGGCATCATGCCATTGATGTCAATTCTTCACCCATTCCACTTTAGTTGAATCGATCAATTAAGATCTACACATTAACATCTTGTCATAGCAGCATCAGTCTGTTCTGTCTGTCAAGCCATGCTACTGTGTACTGACTGTGTAGTCCATAGCTACCTTCTTTGGTTGATTCAGTGTTTGACATACGTTGATGTAGATTAAATTGAATGGAACGCAATTAAATAGAACTATTTTGATAGCATGTTGATACGATGAGATGAAGCCAATGGTCGCTCACTATTGCAATTGCATTAATAGATTAAAGATTATCAAACATCAAAAATTGAACTTAAAATATCTCCATATACCTGGATTGATAGTGTTGAAATCTCAGCTGACGGTCGGACTGTAGCCTTCAAGTCTAATGAGGTAGCACATTGCAATTTGAGTATGATGGTAGCTTTACTTAAGGGATAAATTCAAAATTGATTATCATCAATGTTGAGTCAATGATCTATATTGCAATTAGACCGCTAATTAGTCTGGAGACAGTTCGAAATTTGCAATCTATTCTGCTGCTAATAAAAATACAGTCGTTGTTTATATCATTCTTGATTCATTTTCAACATTCTTAAATAATATCTTCATTCATTTGTTGAATATTCCTAGTGGATCGTTCACGATATCGATAAAAATAAAGAAATAGACTTTGCTAAAAACGAAGAAGGGAAAGTCATTAAAACTGATTTTTGTTCGTTACAATTTTGCCCTGCTGTATCTGAAACCAAAGTCATCATGACACTCTCTAAAGATCGCCGTGAAGTTACGGTTAGCAGTGAATATGCATTTAAGTAAATATTAAACATGCAAAGCGATAGAAATCTGTTGCGTTCGACTGTAATATTAGATTTGGAAGATTGAGGGGAATTGCATTAGACCTTTGAATAAGCGAATACTATGCCAATACAACATACGATATTGTCAATGGGTACAAGTGCATGATAGCGTTCGTGTCTTGTTGGGGTGGAGAAATTTTAATGAATTTGGTAAAAGTCGACATACATCTGACGATCCGTTAAACAAGATTAATGAATGGCAAATTGAAGTAAGCTTCCACTGACTAAAAGGAGTAAAGTACTAAATTGTCTCTTAGAGATCTAATTGATAGAAGCTACTTGTATTAATTTGACGGATAGATATGGCATGTACAGCGATGGACTTGTCTATCATTGAAAGTACCTGATTACATCCATGCAAAGGATGATGGTCGGTACTTTGCTACCAATGATTCTAAAGAAAGTTTGTTCTTGAACTTCATCAATACGCGTATCTACCTTGATGCAACCTATATAATATTAGCATATACAGGTTCCAACCTTGAAACCAATGGTACAATTGGTCTGTTAAAAATGAAACAATTTGGAAAAATGGAATTTGAAAATGAATTTCGGCCAATATTACATCATATTCCACGAGTTGAGAATATTTCGGTATCAGACGATCAGCAAATGATTTTCATTTACTTCGCGCGCGCTCGCGATGAATATTATCGTCGTAGTTATATGGGTACATTTGACTGTCGTGAGAATAAGGTTAGTGCAATATTGGGTTACTCATCATCATAAGCATAATTCGTCCTAAAGTAGATCTGCATAATATTTTATTGTGCAGTAATACTAGTCCTATATTGTAATACTGTGATATATGTAGAAACTCATACTTAAAATGCGATGTTGTCAAGTCCAATCTTGTGTTCAAGTTGAGCAATCTGGTCCACCAATGTTGATTCCTGGTAGTAATCGATTGCTTATTTATGATCGCTCTCAAACACATAATGTATATGAGTATAATTTACAAGGTAAGTGATGATGGTTCTACAACAAGTGCAATTTGATCATGCCTACATTCATGGTCACAAGATCGTTTTCATTAAACTAAGGCGATAAAATTGCTTGGCAAGATATCCCTCAATCAAAATCATATGATGATCTTAAAAGATCTGAAATTACCGTCCCCGAATCTACCGTACCCGAAACTTCCGTCAACATATTCAACGTAGGTTAAGCTTTCATCAACACAATATGTTTGGAGTAGCTGTATCGACTCTATACTCAATTGAATTGTTGATTAGTTACAGATGATCGAGTTTCTAGGTATAGAAGATTGTAGAAAGCACCGAGAATTAATCTATCAACTCTTAGTAAAAGAATCGAATGATACAGCATTTATGTACATACGATACAGAAAGAAGGATAACACACTTATTTTCATGCAACATAAGACAGTATGTTGAAGTGGATATGAAAATGACTTAAGTATTTTTGAACAGGAAATGATAAAAATGAGAATGCTTTTTAACTAACATAACAAGTTATTGAACTGATTTTACAATTATGTAGGAGGTAAATTGGTCGAAGGATTCATTTAATTGATTTATTTTAGATGCTGTCCCAAAATTGGATAATAACCATTAGCCTTACGACCGGAAAGAAGATAATTGATCGACCTGCATGTATTGCAAAAGCTAATATTGAGTACTTTGATGATGATTATCTTTATGCTTGGGAATGCGAGGAATCTAATTCAAACTCGTATAGCTTCAAAGTAAGTATGATTTTATTCTACTTTAATCTTCTTTCTAAACTCTAAACGTGTACAAATTGACTGTTCAGTTTCATGTCGACGGACTTATTGGAAATAGCCTTGAATATCGACTTTGACGTCCATTGCAAATAAACCATTGCAAATGGAGACGATCAATAACGACATTTTCAATTTGAATTTATTGTAGTGTTATAAGATTGGAGATGGTGAATATCATATGAAATTACTGCAAACCATAAGATACAAACATATGGAAAAATTAATCTTTAAAATAACTATGAATTACAACTCTAATGGAGCCAATTATAATCCTACGATTGAACAATCGTCTTTTTCGAAGGAGAAAGTGTTAGTTGATGCATGGGGAGAGAGAGATGCCAATATGATTGCCAATCTACCGGAAGTAAGTCATATTGATGTTGCATAATGCTCGCAGTGATACAGTCAATATGGAAATGATAAATTGGGTGGATGGCGGATGATGACCACTGTAATGAGTTGATTATGAGAGGAGCTTTACTTTAGTCCATAATTGATCCTTACATTCAATTTAATTCATTATAGAAATATCGTCATGAAAATTATTTTCTACTACTGGAAAATGGAGACCATATAGCAGTAAGACAACGATAACAGGATACAATCGATGATACTTTATTGTTGAACGTATGTTGTGCTAATCATAAAATTAAATACCTATAGATAATTGCTAGAACTAACCAACTATTCATGAAAAGATACAAAGACAATATCAAATACTTCGACAGTCGCACCCAATTCTTCAACCCTGAAAATTTATGGTCGGACAAGCATTTAATCCTGTACGAGTATGATCGAGTGCAATCCAAATTCAATATTTATAATGCTCAAACACTACAGCTACAAATCATTCTACCATTTACTCACTTCGGTGTCGCGGACATTCAGTGGAATCTTCAACAATCTCAACTCATCATTAAGGGTTTTAAGGATTACTGCTTAGTAACCGTCATTGAATAAGGATAAACAAGAAAAGAAGCCATTTATTGGTTAAGCATCCGTTCTAGGAGAAGAGTGTTGATTTGCTATATTGAAGAATTGCTAACACTGTTGTAGTGATTTCAGCTAATTACAGTAGTTTTGTGTGGGCAATACAGTGATAGTATGTAGTATAGAACTGGATTTCTTAATAAAGTAAGTGTTGATAATAGGGCTAACAATCCATACACTACAACTGTATAGACTGTATCGATATAATATTTGCATGAAATATTTGCGTGACAAAGAGAAATGGATCGGCTATGGTTGTTAACACAAGCAAATATTGATGGCAGTCTAATACTGTAGACAGGGATCTCTCTAGCTAATCTTGAATTCATGCAAAATAATCGACATGGCTAATTTCAATCCTTGAAAGATGGATCATCCATTTAATGAGAGAGTAATTATTAATAAACTAAATCAAAATTACTTCAATAAATGATGGATGGTGGATGTGTGTACACGTGCATAAAGCAAACCCCCAATGTCAGTAAAACGAATACCCCCAAAATTAATATAGTAAACCATCATTAAAAGTAGTGTAGTCCATGGGGTCAATGCAATTGTTGAGTTATTTGCAAATCTATTACAAATCGTAGTTAAAGAAGGACTTAAAGAGAAAATGAAAACTTCTCTAAAAAGGCGTTGGTGTAAAATAGGATGAGAAAATAAAAATAATAAAAATAGGGATAGAGAAAATCATTTACAAAATTGCAGTCTATCATTAAGCATCCCATCTACTGTACAGCAAACCCCAAAGTCAGTTAAAACAATACTCAAAAATAGCGCAAAACAAGACCAATAGTATTGCAATCCATTGGATAAATGCAATTGTTGAGTTAGTTGCATGTCCATTACATATCGTAGTAAAGACGGACTTGAAAGAGAAACTATCTCAGCAAGTCATTGGTAAAAATAAGAAGATAAGAAAATAAAAATATTATTTGTTTTCATTTTCTTACAATTGATTATTTATTTTTATTTGGGAAAACAAAAATAGAATTACAAAAATTCCAATTCATTTGCATCATTCTACCATTCAGTCAATTGTGGAAGTGGTAACAGTATATCTTCAGCATCATGTCTTCTACAACAATAATTCATCATCGTATATATAGTACAATATCATTGGTCAATTATTATTAACGCATTCTCGCAAAAGTTATTTTATAGAAACTACGTTAAGAAATCTATGTAAAAGATATTTCATAAAACTAGGTTAAGTATAATTAAGCAGTTTATTACATTACATAGCACAACTAAAATACAAAAGCCAAAAATTATCCTAGAGCAGCTCGGCTTAAATAAATTATCTAAAATACAGAAAAGAATACAATGTCATCATATAATTCTCACATTAAGTAATTAGATTATAATGATAACATATTTAAATCATAGTAACACTGAAACAAACAGAAAAAGAAAAGAATCACACGGTTTATATTGTAACATGATGCACGATTTATAGCATATCACCAATATACTCACATAGTACAAAAAAAAGTTATTTAATTTAGTGAAGCTGCTAGATAAACTATTGTTATCAACATGTTATATAGAAGTGAATTAGATATAACTTGAAAATAATACCAATATATAGGTAATGTTTATGATAATTCGAATATGTTGATTTCATCTTCGTAGAATATGATATCAATCATAAAATTCATTCTCATAGTAAGTTCTGTAAGTGTTCAGAGACGTATTTCCTAATTGTTATGCTGTAAATAAGTTAGATAACTATTTAAGCAGCAACGCTTTTCCGTTATTCTTGTTCTTAGTCTTTCTTTTCTAAAATCTGTTGTTCTAAGAAGCTCTTCTTGCCTGCCGGAGCATGTTTTATTATCATGTAGTATCTCAACCGATAGAGAAATAGTTATGAAATCCGCTGTTATAAAATTGTTTATGTGATCTGCTAGCTAATTACAGTCAATAGAACAGGTTTTATTAGAGTGCATATATCCTGTTATTCTATAGTATATCGTAGTAACAGCAGATAATATTGTTGTGCTAAATAAACATACTAGAAAGAGTAAACTATCAGCTACATTACACTATATGTAGAGTATACTGAAACTAATGAAACTATATTAACTACGGTTTTACCTTTATAAAAACTTCGGATAAGTACCACCTGATTTTGCAACCGTAATGCAATTTTAAAACATTATATAGCGAGTATAGTACTTTACAACATACCCATTAACAACTCAATTATAATTATGGTTGTATTAATAGATTATCCAGTTTAGATATTTTTTATATATAATCAGCATAAACACTCATGCTCAACAGGATACAGCATATTGACAACTATACATGTAGAAATATTTGATCAAATCTGCGTTTACGATAAATTCGAAAATTTGCGAAATTCATTAAATCTAAAGTCTGGTGAGACAATAAGATAACAGCTTTCGCAAGTATATTAATAAATCTAATGCGCCAAATTATGTAATTTCTACGTTTCCAATAGTATCACTTTCCGTGCGCATAGAGATTATTTTTATATTTAATTACTTTATATGGAAGGATAGCATTACAATGTAATCATGTTAACTACTAATTTCTTGATAATTTACCTAGAACGGGCCAGTCAAGACCTTATTATGTAACTTTACAAAAGCCATCTTATTCCTAAAATTAAAGGCAAAATCTTATCGAAAGGTTTTAATGCAAGCTATGCAGGAAGATTTAAGCGAGTTGGTTCAGTTCTATGAAACCATGGCCTCGTACTGCAGACAAAGGTTGGAAAAAGATACTGTTGCTGAAGGCGGACAAAATCCGAATAACCTTAATCAGCGTCCGATCATCATTGAAAAAGCGGTTAGTATAACCGGCTAAGTAATTGCAGAAACTGGATACTGTCTCAACTTACTTCATTCAAGTAACATTGAATTAGATAAAAGCTATTATCTCGAATAAAGTGTATTGTAACAAAGTACGTCCTCCTAGAAATACTTTAGCGATATTGAATACCTTTTAGTAAACAATAAAAGTACTGGAGATAGTGTAAAATATAGAATTAGTTTAGATTTTAAAAATTTGGAATTCATACGTTATTGAAATTGACTGCGATCCTACTGTTAGTTGACTAAAGGTAATATTGATCGAAATATAGACAACAATATGCGGAAATAAATTACTGGAAGCCAGTGTTTTGTAAATATCACAACTATAAGTACTTATAAAATTTTACGAAAATCTGATATTGAAGGCCTTATTTTATTGGACATGCACTACTTTAGTTAATGATGGAAAAAGCAAGAGAAAATTTGCACCAAAAAATGGAAGCAACTGGAAAGCAGATTGATAATCTACTTACTATTCTTCAGAATGCAACAAAAGAGCTTACTGCTTAGGAAGAAAGTGATTCGCACTGTAATAAGCCTAATACCACCCTACTGAATTTATCATCGCGAAATGATTCCCTTATCGCCAAAATTCTTCATTTTGCAATAAATATAATCGAAAGTATATATTTAGTATCCTAATAGCGGCATTCACGAACGTTTATGAGTTATCTTCATTTCAGCCCATACCAATATATTTTAAACTACAAATTGTTACTATCAATAGATATCAATTGAATAATTAAAGAGGAAACGGTACGGTATTCGTAATCTAATAAAAGAGCGACCTGCGGTGTAAAAGTTTAACCCGTAATGATCCCATATTGAAAGATAAATAGACACAAACGGTAATAAATTTCTATCCCTACGGAAAATATTTCCTTAATTTGCTGATGTAAACAATCTGTAACTTAATACGAAGAAATAAAGCTTCAATTGCACAACTGCAAAAAGTCTTCAATACTTTCTTACTCCATCGCTTCTTAATTGAATATTTCAATGTTGCTACGAATATGCAGCAGCGCGAAGGCTTCACGACTAGAAGAAACTAGAATGGCTATTTGTTACGATGCGTAAGCTCGTCCTAATTATAATTATTGAGTAATATTAAATATTGCTTGTGTGGATTGACGTTTTATTAATTGTCATTTCTTCATATAACTTGTTTAACCAGGAGTTTCTGACGAGACTATAAAAGGCTGATGCCTGAAGATTCCTTTTTAGTTCGTTAGTCGGTTAGATAGTCAACTAGTTTTCAATTGATATTTAATTGCGAAGACTATAATCTTGGGTGCCAAGATTCCTTCAGTAATAAATGATAGTAAATCTCTGACTATCTCGTCTACATCATCTGTGACGCTATAATTATACCATAGTATTCGGTTGTTGGAACTGAATTAGTTGGTGATATAGCTAATCTCGCCTCTTTAAGTTAGTAAGTGGCGTTCTCCGCAAGGATTGGCGTGTGTAGACTACTTTGTCACTAGTGGTGTGTGACACTATTATAGAAATAATCATTAATCATCCTTATAGATAAATAATTGATATGAATCATTTTCAAATAAATTAACATTTAAAGTAGCCATAGACAATGATCCTCAAACAGTCATCGAGATATTAGATTTAGCATTGGCTTGCATAAGCGATATTCCAGTTGTGGCTCTGCTAATAAAGGAAATCAACGATAATGAATATAATTATAAACTCAAGGTCAAATATTAATCTCGTGTAGATTTACTAAAGTATAATAATTTCCCTAGAAATAATTGAGCAGAATAATTTTATTGATAATTAGTAGATAAATAAATACGAAGCAAAACCATCTGCAAAATTGTTGTACTATTCCATACTCTATGACTATAATCGGTGCTTCTTATACAATGATTTAAAAGCTGCTTTAGTAGTAAATTTTAAAGATAAGAAGCCAAAAATGATATTTACAGAGGTAAATCTTACTATAGGTCGACTAACAAGTAGCCGACAGTACATTGGTCTTTTAAATTATCCACTTATACTTTAGTAAATAAACATTATCGCAGATTACGAGAATGAGTAATTTTGCTTGGTTACAATATACTTTCAAAATATAAGTTAGCTATCATAAATGTAATCGAGAGTTTAATTTTAACTTCGATTAATGCATATAAGTTGTCAACATTCTGAGTAAAGAGGGGAATGGACAACCCGAGGAATTGCTAAATTACGATATTCCTCGGTCATGTATTGGCCGATATGACATCACATCAAGATAAAGAGAAATTGATAATATACTAATTTTCATGGTAAAATCTTGGGTATGTTATACCAATAGTTGTTACTATTTCCTAAGCATAGTTTTGATTTACATACATAAATTACAATGCTCGATCTTGCAAGTAGGTTAGAAGCACGTTTATAGTAAAAATTTTATTAACCAAGACCAATTACACAATTATTTCTTTTAGGATGATCACCATGAAGCAACCATGTTGATAATCACTATAAGCCTTACAATCAAAGAGAAAATGATTTATCGGCTGGACTATAAGTATAAATGGCTTTAAATACTCATCGTTGATGATTGCTATCTTTGCACAAGACAGGAAGAAATAGATCCTAGCAGCGATAAGGATCCACAGAGCATTAATGTAGTAAACATTATTTTTGAACACTGTTTTACCCGCATAAACATTTAATTTAATTTACTTTAAATTGCCACACGAATTTAATACAGAAAGGCTTACTTTGTTGTCTTTTCGATTTATCCTGCCTTATATTTATTTATAAGATGACGTTGATCAATATGAAATTATATTATAACCAAATGATTTATCTCCATTCTAAATTGATTTTAGTGCTACAAATTTGGAGACGACAAAATGGAAACAATTTCGTAAGAAACTTGGCCGTTTCCGAGTGGAGGAATAATATTTAAAATAACTATAAATTCTTTTATAACTGGTTATGAACCCAAAATTAAATACTTGCTTTACGAGGAGAAATATCTCGTGGATGAAATATTTGGACATTATACTGCTCTAATTGTAAGTTGCAGTTTGAATATTCAGGATAAGGGGAAAGGAAGTGACCCATTCGATTTGAGGATAGATCATAATCCATTAATAGATTAATAAATAGCAATTTGCATATTCTTCATTACTATGTTTTGATTTGTAAGTACATTGTAGGAAAATTATATGCTAGCAAATAACGAAATCTATATATTAGAAAATGGAGATCATTTAGCGGTAAGAAATGTTGATATTTAATTAATACCATAGGATTGAATGAAAAATGCTTTGTTTTATCCTACTTATAAAATCGGTAAAATTACTTCTTTATAGATATTAAACCTTTCCGGCATGATAGTGACGAAAATATGCAAGAACTATTTCATAAAGTTTGATTATGAAGCTTCTATTTTGAATAATGATAATTTATGGTCGGAAAACCATTTTATTGCATATAATTGGAACACGTTAAATGTTAGAAACTTTTCTTCAGGCAATCTTATCAGTATTTCTACTAAAAATTGTTCAAATCTATACATCTATGATGCTAAAACACTAAAGTTACAGATCAATCTACCGTTTACTTACTTTGAAATATATATGATGCAAAATGCAACAGTCAGCAATCCTCACTCATCGTTAGCAACCGACATGATAAACATTGTTTAATAAAACACATTTTATAGGATGTATAAAGCTAAAGTCTTGTTATTCTATTTCTAAAATAACCAAGAATGAATTCGAGATTACTGGTATCTCTAAATCTATTACGTACCTATTAACTTTATTAAATTTAGGCTAACTTTTCTACTTTCAATAAATTAAATGCGTTCACTCAAAGTAAATTAATTTTATTACAGTGAGAAATTAAATTAATGGTTAATAAATTATACAGAGTACAAAAAAGGTTACAATAAGATTTGATTATGAAGTGCAAATAAATAGAATTTAAGGGTAGGGATCCTATGTAACGAATTTATCCAGAATTGTGCTAGTCACTTCCATTTCTATTATATGCTGTGCTAAATATGCCTAATAATTAAATTGAGTACCGTAACCAAACATTACGATAGAGAGCACAAAAGTATGAATTGATTATATGGCAATTAAAATAAAAAAATAAATGTCGTGCAAGGTGCTTCTGTTTACTTCCATCTAAATCGAAAGATACTAACTGAATAAGAAATAACGTAATTAAATTTACGTGTATCAGGGTTACAATACGCTCTTACTACATATTCATATACATATCGTGGTTATTAAGATTAAATAATTAAAAGACAACCCAATCAAACATTGTAAAAATATCGGTCTGATATGTAGTTAGACAAAAAGATGGGAAAATGTCGCATTTTAATAAATTAGTGCGTCAAGTATGATAAAATCTCTGCAAAACAAACAAAAATGAGCTTAAAAATTGGACTTTCAAAATTAGAAAACACAAGACTGTAAGAAATACAGCTATGTTTACTATGAAAGAATTATCTGTAAACCGAATTATCGATGATAGATAAAGCTTGAAACAATCCTAAGCGGTTAATTAATATTTTGGGAATTAAATGATGACACGGATTGCTTAAAAATAACAAGTTATAGATTCTAGGTGCTTACAGTATCCATCTACACTATTCAAAACAAACTGTAGTCTTAAAATGGGTAAGTAAATGTTACTGCGAGAATTATTTTAAAGTTTGCAAAGGCGGTAAAATGGTTGACAAATGTGAAGTTAGAGAGACATAAATAGTTGTTATGAAAGGATAATGAATCTTGAAATCATGACCTGTAGGTGTTCTCAAGTATTGTTGTATTTATTTTATCTAACATTGCTATCAAGATTACAGAAGTAGACTTACAATAAATATTTCAGTGTCTCAATTTTTCAGACTTAAACTGGAAAAGTAGTTATCTTATTGGGCTCTCCATTAGCCTAATTCACTGTAGATGTTCGTAGAAAGTTGGTTAAAATGTTGTTGATGTTATTTCGAACTATAAAGTCAAATTTGACCATATACCATAAAATTAAAGGGGCGATTCTGTTCAAACCTTGCAATTTCAAGTATTACGGAGCGTAGATAGAAGCATTTACCGAAGAAAATCGTTTCGCTAATCAAAGTGTAATGCAGTGTTGGAATCATCGAATTTACTTTGCTACAGTTTATGAATGGTTTATGTATCTTGACGAGATAATATTCCTACATTAATCTGAACTTTATTGTTAGCCAATTTGATATCTTGCCACCATGCAATTTTACCGACCGTTCTGATAGAATAAGTAGTCTTCCATCTTGAATGACTGTGGCCTGTTTGGATGTTGTGCGAAGATTTTAATTATCGGACTCAAAAATGGGCTGAATAGACAGCAATTGACCTGAAAATGGTAGATTATAGCAATAGCAAAGAAGTTGCTTAATAGAAGTCGCTTAACAATCATACCTATCATAAACTATACAAGATTTTACGCAAGATTAGTTACGGTTTTCAGATTGTTGCTACTTAGTTAAGGCAAGCCGTGGCTAACTCACTCGTAGATAAATCAAGCTTTACCAATGATCTATTTAGCTGCTTGAATGTTAGCTATAGCATGTCTCCTTGCTGAGCTGAAAGTTTTCTGTTATTGAATATCATAGGCAAAGAACATAAACAAATCACCATCAGCTGAATACCAATCAATATCATTTCCATTATTACCATACAAAATACGTTTTAAAATTTTATTTCTGAGGAAGCTATGAATTAAAATTGATTTCTATTTATCAGGCTAGCCAAAATAAATAAAACTAAAACTAATAATCAAACAAATATCATCAGACTACGATCAAAATTGTCTCAAATAGAAGCAACAAAAGATAGTAATGAAATCTTAATTTTGAGAGATTACGTATGTTAGTTCATTCAAGGAATCAACCATTGGCCGTTAATTACCACTGCTTTGCCATTGCTGTTACCTGAACTAATACTAGGTGCAAGCCTATTTCTCTAGCTGCCTCGTATATAAAAATATTGAATTCTTTTTCTTTCTTCTCCAGCTCGGAGTTTTCAGATTGCAATCTATCACATTAAATCGGATTTCAGCTAGGTAGTTCACAAGACCTTTGGTAATTTGACTAACGATATACACGTAAAATGGATACTAAATAGTAATTAATGTTACTCTGATTATTACCTAAATTGATAAATAAAAACTAGAAGGCTTCAAAAATTAAGTATAGTAACTGATCTTAGTCCTATTACCACGGATGATTCTTATAATTTTATTGTTATCAGTTGTAGAAAAAATTTTACTAAGAAGAGATACTAGGCAACAATTCAAGATATTCAGGCATTCAAAAGTTAGTGTTCTAAGATTGCGATCTCGTAAATTAACAACGACTGAGAGTGGTATCTAGAATAGTAATAGAAGTTGCACATCTTATTTCTAAATGGATGAATATAAACTGAAATACTTGACTAAGTATCAATCGATTTTATGTCAATTGCTCTTGATAAAAGTTATAGATAAAATCATTTACGGATCTGTATTACTGCAAAATAACATGTGATATAAACTATCAAATTGTTTCCTTAAGTAATGATCGAAATGATCAGATTACCAAACTATTGCTATAAAATAGTATGCAGGACAGAGTAATCAGTGTTACTGAGATAAATAGCTCAACAGATAATTAGAAACGTGACTAGAAAACTTTACTATAAACTTAATATAGTAGCTGGTCTTAGTCTTGCTTCCATCGATAGATCTTATGACTTTATGGCAATCAGTTATAGACAGAATAGTTTTACTGAGTAGGAAAACTGTGCAAGAATCTAAGCTACTCAAGCATTCTAATTTATTATTTTTAGATAACAATCTAGCAATTTAATGATAGTGAAGAATAGAATCCAGAGTAGCAATGAAAATTACATATCTATTTATGGAATGAGTAAAGGTGGACTGAATCGCTTGATTTAATAATCAATCAATTTGAGTTCTATTTCTCTCGATAACAGTTATGGATGAAATCATTTACCCGTCCACTTTACTACAAAGTAACCTGTTATATAAGCTATGCAGATCACTTCCTCAAATAGTAATCATATCTACTAAGATTTAAGCAAGCATTATAACAGCATCTCTTTAGCAGTTGTCTGGTAATTTGCTATCACAGCTCAGAGTTTAAGTAAGATGGAATAGATAAAATTTCTGACCTTTCTTTCAATTCTTTCAATTCTTCATTTAGTAGCATTGGATTAATTACTGGTAATTCTTCAACTCTAAAAAATAATTGATATCGAGAGATGACATCATCCAATTCCATCCTATATTGTTTCATTCGTTCGTTCGTGTCCTTCAAATTTAAAATTTTGTAAGATTAATCAGAAAAATATTAATTTTAACCGCATGTACTTTGTTAATCTATAGATAGAGCGTTTACTATAAGCAACGTTGAATTGCATATTTAATCGCTCCAGAGTAGATCCAATATATCGATTCGCTTTACATTTTCGATCCGCTCTATTTCTTCCTCCATAATTTGTAGTTTATGTTTTCTTTTATTGTTGTCATTTTTCGTTATGTAGATCATATAATCCATCTAAATATGATGAGAATTGAACTGATTTAGAAAAGAACATAAACTATAGGACGCATAATTACGTCAAGTATACTAAAATATTTAGAAAAGGATCATTTTACCCTATCACAAATTTCAGCTGCTTCAGGCAGATTACGTAAATATCGATAAAAGTCATCTGTTAGTTCATCTAAAGCTCCAGACAGAGTCTGCATGGAAAAATAGAAATAAAAATTCATAGAATCTACTTCTAAGGAAATTTGTCTAATAGTAATTGCAGGTCGTTGTTCCTGTATCTGTTTTCCGTTTTTACTATCTAACAATCTGTAAAAAAGTAGCGTTAAGTCGCACTGACGCTACACTAAGATGTACGAAGGATTAGTGAGTTAGCGTAAAAGTGCACAACTATTACAAAATCACTGAACAACAGGTATACATACTGATTTCAAATCAGGAAATTGCGAGGGTGATTGGGAAGCAAGAGAAATCATATTTAGTAGCCAGTCCTCCGTTAAGTAAGATAGATAAATTTCAAGTTTATCGAGGCATGCCGCCATATTCATCAATTCTAGTTGATTGTTACTGTAAGTGATGTCCAACTATTATTAGAGTAAATGAAAGGCAAGTAGTGAAAAATCTTCGTATTAATAAGGGATTAGCTATAAAAGATTTTTCCGTACACAACATGAATTATTTACCTTTGGAGTATAAGGATCAACCGCTAAGCGTGATGATAAGTTATTTGAGAACATAGAATATGGGAATACCAAAATTTTAGAATTCATTTCAATTCAAGAGATATTGAGGTGAAATTAGGTTACATTAAACGTTTGTGTTTGCAAAATTAATTGTAACACTCTAATAATATCAGAATAGGATGAGATAGAAGTCTTTTTGCTTTGCTTTTTATACAGTCTTAGACAAAGTATCTTAACTTACCTACTAAGGCTGAATTATAAGTTTCAAATAGATCATCTACTTTCTGTCGATCGTTAATTGGCAAGGTTTCAACACAAAATTCGTATACAGCCTAAGATGTAGAAATTGGAAGAAATCTTAAAATCTTTGGCATCACATACGTATTTACCTAAACTAATTGTATTGCCTAAACCAGCAAAATTGTTTATTACGATATCATAAAATACTCTAAATATCTATAGAGTGGAATAAGGCTTTAAAGCATGTCACGGTACTCGAACTACGACGGGTAACAATGTCATCCCTTTATACAGTATGTAGGTTGTTAGTAAATCTAGAATTGTAAAACTAATTCATTTTCGAGTAAAATCAAGTGAACAAGTCAGATAGCTAATTCATAACAGAGCTCAAGGTTGGATTGCACTCTATGCCTATTCAATTGTACTGTATTTTAAAGTATAGTATAAGGTTGTAAAAAATTTAGATCTAGATTACACGATAGCTAATGTTTGCATAAAAGAAATAAAGCGAGTGACTTTTACAAAAAGGAGAATTCTAGATTTGATTCCAGTGAAAACTGGCGTGTGTGTTTAATTTAACAAGCGTTGGAAGTAGTTTTGGTAGTGCAAAAAGTGGTTGTTAAATAAAGAATCCGGTGAATGATAATTTTGGGCCAGTTTACTAACATTTAGTGAGAATACTAACTATAATTAATAGATTGTTATCTCTGAAACTTGGTTTAATTTTATTACATTAAGGTTACTGCCACTTGCAAAATGCGAGCTGAACTCGCAAATAATTGAAATAGCGTATCTGCAGTACAGATACAGTATCCTAACATACAAGCAGCATATATATGTTTTCTACCATGGCATCATTTTAAATTGATTTCCAACTAAAAATTTTAATTGAAAGGTTTTATTACTATCATCAGCTGCAATAATGCACAAAATTCAAGAAATTTAATAAGACCGCTATCGTACTTACGCGCTTGTTGTATAAACGATAACTATCCTCATTATTGATCAATTGAGCAACTGGAAAAAGTAAATCATCTTGATCGATTTCATCATGGCACTGTAAGGAAATAAGAAATTGAGGTTATAGATAAGTTCTAACTCGGTTACAGAAAATACTTTTAAGTTTATAGCCAATCACTCTAGCCAGATAAATCTTAGATAGAAAGCTTTAAAAATAGAAAGCAGATTCGTATGCTGTGTGTCGGATATTAAACTGGGCATTTGCTAGACAAAAGTAATTATTACTACCTTTATTAAAGTAATTGTCCATTGTAAGCACTTTAGCAATGATAACGAAACAAATACATCATCTTGTCCAAAAGCAACAACATCTTGTTCGTTTAAAGCTATAGGATATTGAAGTTTTTGTAGTGTTATTTCAATAGTATCGCAATCGATTTGTTCAGCAGCATGTTGGCTATAACCAAGATCCTGTAGAAACCTCTGGTAATATCAATGATAGACAGCAAATATTAAATTGATAGCTTTATCTAATCAACTTTTCAAGTAGTACCAATGCTATAAAGTACAAATAAAACTTTTTACATCACATATATGATATCTATTACTATCACTTCGCCAAATTACGGAATTAATTTCATTTAGTATACAATAATCTCTCCTCCTCACTCTGAATAATATGTAGAAATCATTAGGTGTTATGTGGCCTCGATCTTTGATTTGAACCAAATCCAATACTTCATTGCCTTGAAAGTGTTCATGATGCTGTAAGAACTAAATAGATGGCATGCTAATTAAAAATAGCCTTCCATGCTAGGCTCGCAATTAATATCCGCTCTAGTTATACCTCAATAACATCTTGAAGGTGCCGTCGGTAAACTTTGGCATATCAGATTGAAATAATATCGAAGATTAATACGGTACTAATAACAAGCAGTGAGTACCTAAAATCGTTCATTTATATAATATATACCTGGACTATCCGGTTTTGTTGTACTAGAAAATTGTAAATCATCCATGATCAAGAAGCATTTATGTTATTCATCCATTTGTTAATTTTAAAATTCAAAGGAAGTTTTCCATTTGGATTTTAATTGCAAAAGGAAGATTAACCGAAGAATTTTTAATGTCAGTACTGTACTTTTCTTGCCTACTCGTTTGGTAGTCGTAGTACAGGCATCCGTAGTAATGGTGGTAGGGTAGCCAAAACCTCTCTAAGCTATATTTTTTGGAACTTATTTTGACATGTATTACTATGTAGTTTGCAATAAACAGAAAATAATTATACAAGCATATGGTTCAGATGATGATGTCACACTAATGTGACACCTATAGATGCATACTCGTATCTAATATTAGTTGTATATCGTTAAATGCAACTTTTATTTACTTGTGCATGATTTAAATTCCTGAATGAGTGTATGCTGTACGTATTCACTTTTCTATTTTATTCATATACTTATATAGATGAAATATTCCCTCCATTGAAATAATTTAAATATCTGGCGAACGTCGTGATTACAATTATTAACACCGGTATACTGTATGTTGTCAGTAATATTTAGTAGATGTAAGGGTTTTGAAGGGCGCGCCAATTTCTATTCCTGTATAATTTCATAGATAATATCCAGATACAGACGACGTTGTTATTGCATTTAGCTTCCCTAATATCAGTAACTTCCGTTGAATAATTTTAATTTAAGGGATAAATTACCCACTTGATTATAATTATCGCCAGTTACTTTTTTCGCTATACCATACTACTTTATGGTGATAGTGCTGTATTCAGTTAATTGCTATTGCAAATTACTTTGTAACAAATGATTCAGACGATTTCGACATTTGCATTTATAAAGTGCTGTGATCTTTAGTTTTAATAATACTTGAGGATCTTTTGCATTGGAAATTATTGCTTATCATCTAGAAATACAGTACTGTACTGGATGACTAAGTTATGATGTTGAATGTGATGTTATATCCTACAGTAGTATTATTTGCAGGAGTTGAACTTGTTCTATGACCGGAACTATCTTGGCATCCATGCTCCAACTACAGTACAGGAGGAAAAAGTTGTGTATTTTGGGTATCAATACTGATTTCTGTGTTGCTAATCTTAACACAGCAAACTTGACAGTATTCCTGCAAGCCAGATAATACCTGCAAATTGCAAGTAATTCCTTTTTCTAGCGCAAAGGCAAGCTCGTTTTGTGTGTACAGTATCTACCACAGCAAATATTGTGCACAATCACTTTCTGTACTTCAAAGTGTGCAAAATGATCTGTCACCCTTGATTTCTCTCCCGTCCGAAAGATGCAAAATATCAATACCAGGAACTACTCAATCAAAATTGTACCCCCATTATCGCAAAAAAAGTCGATCTCCACATTGTTTTCAGTGTAGTTTCTTGTCCCGTCTGCTGTTCTCTTTCTAGGGTAGGGGAGACAATTTTTATATACGGGGTACAATTTTGATTGAGTAGTCTCTGACAGTATTGACAAAATAAAGAAAATCACAGTAGCTTACAGTATTTTATACAATGCCAATGATTCACTAAGCTCTTTCTGTAAAGTGTAAGCTAGTTATAATTTACTGTTAGTTAGTAGTATAAGGGAATTCGAAGAGAAATTCTAAAGTCTAATTCGTCTACCACAACTTAATACGGACAGCCATCTCCAGTGCGCGTGCGTAATTGGATTTAATCGATTGATAAAAATGTCCAAGAGGCGAACAGCCAGCCAATCGCCGCTTGCCACTTCAGGTTTCCACACCCCAAATCTATTGTTATCAAATCAAATCTTTTTCCTTACTATACTTGGAGCAAGGATGATACTGATAGCAAGCAGTACTAGCAGGTACTACCAGTCCTTGGCCTAGTCTCTGGCAAGCCATTGGTATTGTAGAGTGACTATATTGCCTGCGCACACTTATCCAAATCCATCAGCGACTTCATCACTACGATTTAGTTTATTTGGACGTTGAAGCAATTAACTTAAGCTTGATAAAATTGTTTGCAACGACAAGCTATTAAACAAAATTAAAGAATGAGACTGTTGTTTAGCTCGACGTTATTCCTCGTGGTATTTGCTGGCTTGGTACGAGGACAAGAAGGGGCTCAACCTAGTGGAGGGATCAAATTCTCTACTCCTGATTTAACCGATGAAGATTATCATTCGCCTACTGTGCCATTGCAGTATCGTTGTGCTGTGTGCCAAGCGGTCGCTTACCAGGTTAGCTTATAACTGCTATAATCCGCAGGCAATTGGGATATTGAATGGAAATTGCTATAAAAGATTGATTCTTCATAGCCTCCACAGAAGGATCAGCATTTATAGAATTACTTTTGCTATCAATTACGTCGTTAAGTTGCACTGCACGCTGCACTATTCTCAGATATCGGATTACTTAGCAACTGCTAGGGAAGAGATGCATCTGTAGACTGCAGTACCAGGTGCAGTTACGGTTTTTGAATGAATGAATTCATCAACTATGAGTAACATTTAAAATTGATCAATGTAGTAATGATGAAATCAGTTTAAATTATAATGACTAGATATGAATTAAAATCATGATTACAAACCGAGGTTACAACATTATCTCGTCAGGAAACCTTAGTAATAACATGTGCCTCTTATTGCACTAGACTATTGAGCCTAGATATTTGCTGCAAAAGTAAACAGTTTAATTGGTAATATTGCTGCTGTACACTACGTCAATATCAATTAAATATTTTATCATTTCCTAACGATGCTGAGAGGTAATCTTACGACATAAATTACGAACAGTGCACTACATCAAGTTTGTATAGATGCAGGAAAGTTGTCTTATTTTGGCAAAAAATATTAACTAAGCCTTCATTTAATTGCAATTTTAATCAAATAGCTAGAGAAAGCTTTAGAAAAAGAACAAATTAAGCTTATTGGCAGAAAAAGACTCTCTGAAGTGGTCTATATTGATGTCTTAGACAAGAAATGCAATGGAGAATGGGACGGGTAAAATATTAATAGTTAGTCTGTTTAAAATAGCCATCAGCTTGCCCCCCCCCAAATGCAATGGTCGTATGATCATAAATCTTATGCTTGACTTGAGCAGCTTCGACTTTACCTTCGTGATAATTGTCAAATAGCATAAAAGTTGTATGTTACAACTAGTATACTCGTATATCCCAACTCACTCGAATGAAAGAAACTTTACCCTAGGTAGTGCTTGGGTTTTACGACCCCTTACACACACATAGTACAAGTAGTATAACTACACCGTTTCTTCATCAGCAATCATGAAATTACCTTATAGTATAGTATAGTAGACTATTTTACTTTTGAATGCCACCGTACTGCAATTGCTACTGTAATTAGCTGAAACTATGACACCATATTTGCTATAACGCTTAATGATTGAACTCCTTAAGTTTGACCCTCCTATAACTGATGGATTGTAAAAGATTTCATTAACTCTATACAACTCCGCGAGGTTACGGATTGTAATTGGCGCTTCAAGATTGAAATTAATTATATAGTAACGTTGCTAGTTCAGTTAAAACTTTCGACTTGGCTATATTATGCTGTTAATTAACTCAGTCTCCGTCATTATTCAATTCTCTCTAAATTATATACCTTTTCACTACATTTTAAAATCATATTTTAGTTATGGAATCAAAAAGGTAAATGGTGTTAACCGATTTACTGGCGATGGCGTGCCATATGAAAATGACTTCGGATTTACTCAAACAGGTGGCAAATGGCCATTTAGGTGAGACATATTTGCTAAATGTGTTTTATAGTTGGCGTGGCAATAAAACATTATTATGAATGCAGAAAATTGAGTTGTTTAGATTAGAGCATATTCCAAGTAGTCAGTTGATGCTATCATAAATTCAATTTTGTGTGGAAAGTTACATCTATAGCATTCGTCTATTAATGCTCATGGTACTAAAATAACATTGACAGTGTTTCAACTGGGGAGGACGAGTGTTACAACTGATGGAAAAGAGTTTAGGTCATTGAGTTTTTTTACCGTAAACATTGTAGTAGGACGTTAGATGAGTATATTAAATTCTGCACCATACACTCGCTGCCTTATGATTGTAACGATAAACGCTATAGATATTTAGAGTATGCGTCTTGGATATTAATATAGTCATAATCTATACGGTGGCTAATTTCTTGAATACTGTTGGTCATAAATCCTAGGCTTACCAATGAATGCCAAAATATCCTTGGTGAAGTTGGTGAAGATGAAATATATGAGGCATTTTATGATGGTACACCGTTAAAGAAATTTATTTGTCTAAAGAAAACTAAGTACTGTAATAAGAAACATGACGAATTGTAGACGCGTCATAAAAATTATCCAATCTTGCATTTGGGAAGAAATTGTTTAGCTAACGTTTTAGAATCACATTCAATCTAATAGTAGTTCAAAAAACGCCGAATTAAGATTTAAAATGATGCCCTAGTTCATTTCTAGAATTTTAAGTTGCAGTCTATACTGATTCTAAGTTGTATTTGTATAATTTCTTGCATACGCCTTTATTTCCAATCGTTACTTAATGTTGTATACTCTTTAGCATGGATACGAATACAACTTTCTTGAATCTTCTATACAAATATGAGATTACGTTGTGGACACTTTTTGTGTTTGGTACAATCTTTTCTTCGATATCTGGTACTTCGCGTATGTGCGATGTTTCATCGTAGACTGTTTAGTTTCTCTACAGCAGATGTAAAAGTTTGTTGGAATGTTGTCCTGCTCAATACTGTATTTGTGTATATTTTATAATTGTACTATATCTTAGAAGACAACAATGGTATTGCTCATTTTTACTTTCTTTGTCAAGATTATGGCTAGAATTGATCTTAGTGCAATAAAATTTGCCGGATTTTTATTTTTGACACAATTGATTGTATAGCAACCTTGGCTATGTAATGGAACGCGTGAGATCGATTGAGCTATAGTCCATCGCTGAGGTCTTGATGCCTCTTTAGTGAGTATATTGAAAATTGAGTAATAGCTTGCCTACAGTGTACAGGATTACCTTGGCTGTAGTACTTTAGCTAAAGAGCTTGAAGTATCATAATTTGGCTGTTCTTCGATGGAATGATCTATTCAATCATGAAACTGAACTTCAACTTACACTATAATAGCAGTGCCTAATATGCGCAATATTACCAGGGGGACTTGAACTAGTAATATGAATGGATCTTTTTATTTTCCTAATATGCTGCATTCGATCAGGTATCTTCTCATATTAAGAAGAAATTCTACTGTCCATAGTATGATAACCTAGCTGTCAATTTGGTTTCGTGTTCTATTTTGTGTAGAATGTGTTGCTGTTCATTTGAACGGATAGTTGATCGGTAATACGCGTCGAATTAATCAATACTTCGGCATCACATTCTAGCCAATGCTAGAGCACAGAAGTGTAAAAGCATCATGCAAAACGATTACTGAATTGTTGCAATGCCATTACAGTCCTGTGAGCTCCTACCCAGTGGAAAAGAAGTCTGCTCACGTTCGGTGCAATTACAGCACCCTCAATCTTGACTTCAAATCAAATGTCTGGCAATGGATATAACCATTTCCACACCTCATTCTGTGCAATTAAGCATAGCTGATTTTGCTAAAATGAAGCCATATTGTAGACCACTGTCCTCCATTGACATTGCAGTACAGTATGGCAGCAGTAGGGTACCCTGTACCCGGTACAGCGACTGCTGTCTGTCATACTGTCTTTCTGATCAGCAGTTTGTGCAATCGGTGCTGGCTTGACGGTCCAGCACCGAAATGTCCGACTGTCTGAGTCCAGCGTGTTGAAGAATAGTACTGTCCAACGTACTGGTGCCACCACTTGGAAAATGACCACAGAAATAGTCAGTCAGTGCATTTTTGCTAACGCAAGTCGTTGACACTGTGCCTCTTTCTTCTTTTCATAGCGTGTACCCCAATGTGGAAGCACTACTCAAAAGAAAGAGACGGGATAGGAAACGACCACAGTGCAAAATAATGTGGGGGCTGATCGTTTTTTCGGTCATTTAGTATACAGTACAGTACAGTGGAGAAATTTATTTTTCACAACAGTACAAGAACCAAACCTTCGACAGGTGTAACAGTATAGTCACAATTGTGAAAAGTCCTTGACTATTTACAGTGTACAGTACGGCAAACTGAGTGTACAGTACTGTACACTGTACTGTACAGTATACAGTACTGTAGTCACAATTCTGAAAAGTCCCTGACTGTGTACAGTGTACAGTACTGTACACTGTACAGTACAGTACAGTACAGTATGCCACGTTACACTTTTTAAGCCATACTGTATGTCTAAGATATTTTAGCCGATGAAAATTTTAACAAGAAAAATCAATGAATCGCTTTATCCTGCACAAATTATACATCAATCGGTAGAGAAAGAGCTAAATAACATAGTTCATCAATTATAATCTACGTGCGATGTCTATTTTCTTCATAATAACTAGTTAAAGTAGGCAAACTGCTACAGTACCAAGTAAAAATATGGGTACTGTCCACTGAGTGTACACTGTACAGTACAGTACAGTCATGCTGCAGTCCATTAGGCTATATAGGCACTCATACAGCATTTAACCAAGAAGTCAATCTCTCTACTGACTTGACCGACGACAGTACTGTACAGTCATTGAAGATGAGAACGGCTACCGTCTTACAGTACCATCATACACTACAGTGTTTTCACTGTAGTCTGCGTACCGTACTGTCGCCAGTTTCATAAAAGAAGAACCCAGACGTAGCCCTATCGTGATTCTCTTCGAAACTTGGACAACTAGGAGGAAAAAGAGGAAAAAGGAAGAGAAACTCCACTACAACGATCCAAACAACATGGTTAGCCATCATAGTTGTCGCTTTACATCATGTATTCTATAGCATCCTTTATCATGATATGGATAAAATCAGTCAGAATGGTTTGTAATCGATTAGCAATCACTCAAAGCTACTGCATAGTGTTGGCCGTCATAGCACAGTAGGCAAAATAACTGAGATGCTTCATGACAAAGTCATGCTATCATAATCTTCAGCCATTGGAAAAATGGGTTGAATTGGACTCAAATTAGCTTGTTATCCATATATCAAAATCTTACTCGATGTTGTCTTTGTCATTCATGCCATTTCGTATTTCAAGATGAATCGAAGAACGATACAAACATGTGAAAAATATCCTTTGCAACTTTTGCATACAAAAGAGTGCAAGTCAATGGATGAATTACTGATGCTTATACAGTTGCATGAACCGAGTTTTAATTCAAGAAACTTACTATTCCCTAATATGTACCGCTAGACAGTCAACGATGATTCAATAGCTCTAATCGAAGTCACAGAAATAAGTATTCAATGAAAAGACTGGATGGATAGCGTTGACATCAATTACAGTACTGTACCGTATTGAAGGATAGAATACGAATAATTTCTGAATTCCGATAATGATAAGCCACTGCACGAATAAGATCAACACAAACAGCTGTGATGACAGGATTGAAAGCAAAACTCTTTCCCATTCGCCTCATTCGGTTACAGTTGATTATTATCGTACTACTGTAGTAGATAGAATAAAAAAATGGATCATCGTACACTCACCGCCCCATACTAACCTTTGTTATCTTTGACTGTATTAGGTTCTCCTATCGGCAGCTATTTGCAACAAGAGTGGCAAAGGTAAAAATATCCACAAGACTAATGCATCAGTATAATCAATAGAATTAGTAGACTATCAGTGAAAGAACGAGCTAGACGTTTTGATAAGCTTGATAATATTACTCAAGTAGTTATTGTCATTATTGCGTGTTTCAATTGATATACATTCTTGTAATCATGATAGGACTGCTATCTCGGCAGTTTGTTGAAATGTCACGATCACGAGCTGAAGGGCTACTTGCAGCCTTCCCCAAGTTGATGAGTAACGGAAAACAGCATACTTTCGTTGAAACAGAAAGTGTTCGCTATGTTTATCAACCTTTAGAGAAATTATTTGTCTTACTCATTACTACCAAGAATAGTAATATACTGGAAGATTTAGAAACGCTAAGGCTATTTTCGCGAGTTGTAAGTTAGACACCAGTTCTACAAAAATGTTAACAATCATCCAATAGTTAGCTATATTGAACCCTTCATCCTTTGTTGTAACTGGCAGTTGAACTAGCTTAGACGAATCGTACACATAGTAGTCTATCATTTGGAACATGTTGGTGTTTCCATTGCAGGATCCTAACAATAGATCAATAAATACTTTAACCGCTTAGGTGCCTGAATATTGTGGTTCTTTGGATGAAAAAGATGTTCTTGATAATGCATATGAAGTTATATTTGCTTTTGATGAGATTGTGGCACTAGGTTATCGCGAAAGTGTCAATTTGTCACAAGTTAGAACTTATATAGAAATGGAAAGTCATGAAGAAAATGTTTATCAAGCTGTCCGTAAGGTAATACATTTCAAATGATACTTCATTCTTGCACAGTTACATACGTATGTTGAGTTGGTTGACGCAATAATGAATATCAACACCATGTATGTTGGCATTGTAACCACAGTCACAAGAAAAGGAAGCCCACGAAGCCATGAAGAAAAAGGCAAAAGAAATTGCTCAACAAAAGAAAGAACGAGAAAAAATGAATCGTGGTAAAGGTGGTACGTCAAATATGAGTAGCTTAATGTCAGGAACATCTCGTTTGTCTCCAGATGTACCAATGGTCGGAGATACAACCAGTTCTGTATCGACTTCATCGAGTAAACCGCAGAGTACATTCACAAGTAGTTCAAGGTGAGTAGTATCCAAATTACTTTCAAAGACAACTGTATTATTAATATATAAACTATCCCCAAATTGTAGACCTAGTGGATCTAGCCGTGCTTTGAAATTAGGTGGAAAGGATAGAGATCTTAATACGTTTGTAGACAAACTAAAAGCTGAAGGAACTGGTAATTATGAAACAAAATTTTATGCAGGTTCTATTATATTCTCTTACAATTATTGCTCTTCCAACTCTCGATATGGATTAACTTTAGATGTGATTGCATCAACGGCAAAACATTCCATTGCTTCAGCCAATAAACCAGAGCCCCCAACCAGTAATGTTATCCAATCAGGGTAGGTTATGACCATTCGCCTGGTCAGTGTTGATATTGCTAACAAACTGCATAATGTCATAAAATGTATACAGTATAAAATAAAATTAATTCCACCCAATACTAACTTATTGCCTTACTGTTAGTATTCACCTTAAATTAGAAGAGAAAATTAACCTACAAGCTCGTCAAGATGGTAGTTTAGAAACTATGGAGGTCTTGGGCAACCTAATATTACGCATTTCTGATGCTGATAAGCAGAACATACATGTTTGGGTAAAAAATGATGAGGATCGAGATGTTCAGACACAGGTAATTGATATAAACTTACCTACAATGACTGCATCAGTGTTTCTAACTTTATTTTAAGGAGAAATGCGATAAAACCATATCTATTACGCTAATTAAATGCTTTTTTTATATTTTTAAAGCGCTCTTCGACAGTTTCATAGTTCTTCTAGTTATACCTTTTAATTTTATGAATCTTTGTCCTAGACTCACCCACATGTGGACCGCAAGTTTTTTGCGCAAAAATCAATTATTGCATCCAAATCTGCTTCAAAGCCATTCCCATTGAATAACGACGTTCCTGTTCTCAGATGGAGATATCAAACTTCCGATTCAAGTCAAATGCCATTGTCAAGTATGCGAAGAGATATCTAACAGGAGTTGTCGACATTATAAATGATTCGGCTAAATTGTCTCTTTTTTTATTATTAGTAAATTTATGGCCGTCTTATAATAATGGTATGACAGAAGTAAATGTAGAATATGAGCTTGAGCAAGAAGACTTAACGCTCAATGACGTCAACATTGTTATACCGATACCGTAAGGCAGAATTATTGTATCTATTCCGTCATTAAGATTGTAAGAAAACTGCTTACATAGGTACAATGCTATGATTTTATAATAATAAGGCATGGGTCTGGAAGTCCAGTTGTTAAAGAAGTGGACGGAGACTATGATTATGACAATGGAAAGTCCTGTTTAATTTGGTCTTTACCAGTTATGGATGCCTCAAATAAGGACGGCAGTTTGGAATTTACCGTAGCTGGAGATCAAAGTGATTTCTTTCCTATATCCTTGTCGTTTTATTCTCCCAATTTGTATTGCCGTCTTTCGGTAAGTTATGTTTGTGATCTTATCGCTGATTTTGATGCTATATGTAGAAAAGATTAAAGTATGCACTTTCAATAATAGATTGCAGGAGTAAAAGCGGCTGAATCTGGAAAAGATATAACTGACTTTAGCAGCGAGATGTTCTGTAAACCGGACAGATATTTGATTGGCAATGTGTAAAAGGTTCTTATTCAGCTGGCCGACTTCCGACATGCTATAGTTATGAAAAATAAACTGTAGAACTTCTATATTAATTGCAGTAGAATGATATCCTAATAACAGACATTTGTAATGCTATGCTCTATAAGGGTATTTCTATGCAATGCCCTCTGTTAAGAACAAAGTACTCTAAAAAATGTTTTTATTATTATTTTATGTAATCACTACAAATTATTGAATAAAGGAATGGTATCAATCCTTACAATTAATTTTTAGGTAGTGCAGTCTATACATCAAACTTACTAACTGTTTAAGTTGTATCGGTTTAGAAGGCAGCATATCAGACCAATCACATTAATCTCCTTCAAGGAGGTAACCTCGATTGATCTGGTGCGTGCGCCGTTCTAAGACAAGTACGTCAGTATAGCATTGTAAAGTCTCATGGTAGTTTCTCCTTGTAAGCAAGCTGGAGTTAAAATTCCTTTATAATTGGCCCGATACTCTAATGTGAACAGAAATATTTAATCAACAGTATGCTGGAATACTGCCAAGTAGCACCACTTAAAATCAACTGCAATAAGAAAACTTGGCACTATAAATAAAGTAGCTAAAAGTATAGTATAATTCACAAAACACATTAAACATTTATCAGCGTACTTTTACGTCCAAGAGTACATTTAATGGCAAACACTGCATCAGTTGCTCCAAGAAAACATGGCTCTGAAAGTTCTTGAATAAAGGAATGGTATCATTAGAATTATTTTTAGTTTGTGCAAATCTGCATCTTGTCCTTCTAATTGTTGAGTCACTTTATTAAACTTTAAATTAGACCAGTTGCATTGTCCCTTTCAACGGAATTACCTTAATTGATCTGGTTCGCATGCCATTCTAAAACAAATACGTGACTGTGGCATTGTAAATTCTCTTGGTAGATTCTCCACGCAATCAAAGCTGTAGTTGAAACTCATTTATAGCTGACCCAACATTACAATATAAGTAGAAATATCTAATTTACAGTATGCTGGAATACTATTAGCACTACTTTATCAACTGTGATGAGATAACTTGACAGTACAAAGATAGCAGCTAAAAGCGAAGGTTTATTTAGAAAACGCCTTGAACATTTATCAGCATATTTTTGACGTCCGAAAGTACATTTAATAGTATTAACTTAATCAGTTGCACAAAAAAATTTTCTGTAATAGGAAACAACTACAAGTAAGAGAACATATTCTGGAGTGAATTATGGTTAATACTGGTCATGAAATTAACAGCTTCCGAGAAAAATACTTGCTACAGCACTTTTGTCGATAATAAAGTTTAGGAAAAAAATTAATGCAACAGTAACGTAAAATGTTACGTATTCCGATTATATTATAAAGCAGGCAGTTTCATAAAAGATTTTTGATATTTTACCCATAATTTAATTAATGGAGTATTGTTCATAAAGCTAACCTATACAAGAATTATTGAATTTAATCATAGAATTACCGTAAATACTATAAATAACTGATGATGATGCCTCTTCAAACCTTATTAAGAACTTTTTGAAAATAAAGATTTCGAGCTCGAATGGAAAAGTCAACCATCTCGGTTTACTGAAGTTTTATAAAATGAATGAAGAAGCTCTATGGAACAACGAAAAGAAGTTTTTTTAAAGTGCTAAAGAAGGAAGTATCGTTTACTAAATGTTGCAAAGTGCTTACGGGTATGCCTTGGAAGGCTTTGTTGTGTGAGCGTCGACTATATTACACTTAATTTCCCAGAGTTTTTGTAAGTACTCTACTTACACCTACGATCATAATTACCAAATACGATAAGAAATTCTTATGAGTGTCGATAATGTACTCGTGTTTCTTAAATGACTAGTTTTATTTTTACTCAATAAGTATGCTGAGATAAATAATACGTACTTTTCCGGTAAATATAATTATTTTGGTAATTATTCTTAGCGCTTTTACAGTTGTAAGAAATCTTCTATCAATCGACATTAGCTCTTAACTACTAATAAGCATACTGTGCTGATTTCTAGTTAACCCAATGTACGAATATATTAAAGTTTCATAAAGAATTGAATTTACTGAAGGATGCTTTAGGCGCTTTTTAAGGATTAAATTGTGGTAGCGTTCAACTTAATTGGCCTGAAAGTAAGCCTACGATAATTAATTAATAAAATTATTTCTAATTAAGGGTAAAAAAATAGCATTAATATCTCTTTAATTGAAATTATCGTTATTTCAAATTCTCAATTTAGATCGATAAAACTACTCTATTGATAGATTTTACGTTAATACTTCAGTAACAGTTTCATATTTCAGAAGGACAGGTAAAATATTAGTATTTAAGCTACAAAAGTTAAATCTTTATTTACTTTTGTTAATTTATCTACTGCAATCATAAATGTCATCATTTGTTTGGCACTTAATCAAGTATATTCTAAGGCCTAGTGTAGCTTGTTACGAACTTCTCAACGTCGAAATACCTGCACTTGCAAATTTAATTCAGACTAAGGATGAAAGTTTAACTACAGAAAATGTTTTAATAATTGCTGAAGATATAGCACGAGCTATCCAGTCCTTGCATGCTAACTCTATAAGCTATGGAAGCAATAATGCAGATTCTATTCTCGCTTTCATTCCTGCTCAGTTGAATTGATTTCATATTGGATTTATCCAATTTAAATAAATCATCAAAAACACGTTAACTATTTATAGCATTATATCGATGATGAATGTAGAACTACTATCAAATACAGTGAAATCCATAACACTGATGCTAATCAATTTCATCCACGTACTTAAAATTACCACTAATTATCTATCTGATTATGTAATTGGCTATTATAACATGAATTTATTTGTAGCGTAATTTCAAGTTAATGACATATCAAGATACAGTAGTTTGGCTATACAAAATGTTATTATCTGGTACTATATTCCAATTTGCAGTTTCAGTTATTTAGTCTGTAGTATTTAAAATGATCGCTGCTGGATGAGGCTACTGAACTTAATCATATGAATGAGGGTAGAATCAGCCTTTTCCGTTCTAAATACTATATGAAATGCTATACTTGTAGTTTACTAAATCCTATAAAGCTACGTCAAGTGCCGCTTAATCTTTCCCCAAACCTTATTGTCGTAGACTACTTCCTGACAAAGTTTATAAATCTGATGAATTTGTTGGAATAAGGCCTGATGATGATTGAATTACTATAGCATATAAGTTTTCCATACTTGTAAGTACGATAAAGTATAATATTTCCTATACTGTAACACTCAAACACTATGAACATCAGCACTTCCATAAAATCTATAATTGCAGTTAACGTGATGCCGTAACACTCGGATAACTGCTATACAGATTTTGCAATTACGCTGTAATTTCAAAACGTTTAGTAGTATACGACACTCTGCGATTAAGCCTGTCCATGACTCATTCATACCCTGAATTTTCGATTGGTTAGGAAGTCATCTTGTTTAGATATTTCTGATGCGTGTATCATTAATATTCGTGCTTAATTGGATCAACAATATTTATTACTATATATTTAGAAGCATCCAATTAGCTCTATGATTACGATAAATTCGAACATTAGTAAAACTTAAAATTATTATGTATAAAGTTTGGAGCAATAACGAGATGGCAATTTCTGCGAGTCTATTAACAAATCTATTACGGTTAAACTATGTCTTTCTTAAATTTTCGATAAAGTCATGATTTTCATTTATATGATTGATTAATTTCAAACTTTGTTACTCTTTTTTACAGCAGAATATTGCCTTAAGATACCTTACTTGTGCTAACACTAATTCCTTAATGAATTGTATAGAATCAGTCAGCTAAGGCGTCATCGAGCAATTTTACGAAAGCTCAGTTTATTCACAAAAATAAGGACAAAATCTTATCCCGTCACTTGATGCAATGCTGCAAGATTTGGCTAAATTAGTTCAATTTTATGGCATTATGGTATCGCACTGCAGGTAAGGGTTGGAAACAGATGCCGTTGCTGAAAACGGAAAAATTTAGAGAACCTTTGGCAAAAGTGGATGATGGCAGAAAAAGCGCTTAGTTTTATCTGAAAATTAGTCATAGCTACAGCACAATATCTCCTATGCTTATTCAAGCATTCGCATTTAGTGAAAAAGGCAATTTCTATAATAGTTATAAATATATTCCACCAATTTAAATGCATATCAGTTACAGTCAAGCACAATAATAAAATCTTGCTAACCACCTAAAATAAGTCATAAGATTCACTAATTTGAAATTAATACAATATTGGAATATAGTGTTTCCGTACTCTACTGTCAATTTGATTAAAATAAATGGTTACAAAAATGCAAATAGAACTATGCACTACAGTCAATGATAGCTTCGTAAAGTAACTGTTTCATCTTTCTCGAAAATCTCTTGCGGAACATTCTCTTTATTAAATCTACATTGAATTTAGTTAACAAAAAAATCATTAGGATTTCGATTAGAGTGATAAAAGGTTTTTACTGTATATCATTTACTCAAGCAAATCACGAATAACGCGATCTTATTCAATTTCCTTCATAATTATTTACACTGTAATGTAGTAAAAAACTGAAAGTAGAGTTCTTTATAGCTTTAGTATGAAACTATTATTATTTTACTATAGAAAATACTAGAAAGTGATAGTATCTTCAAGTTTTACTCTACCAAATCATGGTGTCTCATCTTTTCTTTTTCGCTATTTTACACGGTACAGTATAGATTACTATAGGAATAGCCTAAGAGCAATCGCCTAATCTAAAGAAAGGGATTTTGATGGTCTATTGGGAATGTAAATGAATTTCACTCAGTATGTAAAAGAAGCCACTCGAAATTAAATTATTAGTCTTTGGCCACAATCATACCAATGTTGCTGCATCGTATAAAAATCTGGGAAATACGTATAAAAATCAAGGCAAGTATGAAGAGGCTAAATTACTTAGTTGGCATTTTGCTCCTTAAAATCTTGTGTTACATGAACAAGGATAATCGGTTTGGCTGGTAATGTATCGTCCAATCTCGCCAGAAGTGGATCGACAATGGTCTAAAATGGATTCAGTTATAATAGTAAATGTTTGGGGCTACTTAAAATTAAAATTCTTATTTGCATGACGTAGAATTTTAGCTAAATGTTATATTAAATTGATTATTATCATTGAGTAGGATTTGTATACTTAATTGGCATTTTGATTCATCACATACAATTTCACAACGACATCGGAAACTGTTTGGTAGCAGTACATTCACCATTTTAGCAAGAATTTGGAAGGCACGGTGGTAAGCAAAGCATTCACCAGTGGCTAGTTCATGCCATCGAAAAATATAACGTGAATTATCGCTGCACTACAAAACCACTGGAAATGGGCCGAGAAATGAAAGTGTCTTACGAATATGATACAAATTCATTTTATTTCATTATTACGGCAATGTGGTAAGTTGTAGGTCCGCGCTAATCGAATCTTTTTAAGCAAATCATCGTTTCACGCAACGACCACTAGCAATGGGCAGGAAACGTAAGCACACATGTCTTTCGAACATATCCGACCAGAAATCGACAAATTTACCGAATTAATTTCTCATGAAGCTAAGTTACTTTTAGAAGAAATTTATTACGGGAGTTATTACATGTTCTTTAACGCAATTACGTCAAGTAACTACCTGATTTGAACTGCAAATTTCGAACGTAAAAACGGAAAAAGGTATACAGTTTTCTAAAATGCTCTGACTAGCACAAAGTGATTTGCATTCATAATAGTCAACTCAAATGATAAAAATCGTCGATAGTAAAGAAATAATGATCAACTATACGCAAAGCAGGATGAATTTTAATATTGTCTACTATTTGCACTACATACGATAGTCATTCAACTAGAAGTTGCAAGATCTCATCATTAGTTATTAAATTCGCCTATTTTCTCAAGTGAGCTTTCCAAAGTCTCATATCGATCAACTATTTTATACATTAGTGTAAGGTAAAATAAATTAATTAGTCTACTCAGTCTATTCAATATTTGTCAGAGTACGGTAGCAATAGTAATTTAAGATTTAAGGCTTTTGTAACATTGTAATTGTAACGTTTTTTATTGTGAGAAAAAATAAATCCGTCTATTTCGCAATTAAGCTCTTCCAAGTCTCTTATCAATTATTTATTTTGTGTATTGGAGTAATGTAAAAGCTGTGAGCTAGTCTACTAAAATCTGTTCAATATTTGTCAGGGTACAATAGCAATGATAATTTAAGATCTCGATAAATCTATTTAAGATGTGATAGTGATTATCCCAAAATAACCGGAATGTAGATACATATAAGAACAGCTACCGAGCCGTAAAGCAACTCTGGTTATATCTTGGTTGTACTCTTAATCAAAATTTTATGCTGGCACATGGTCATGCCAACAGCACGCTACATACAGTACTGTGTCAGCTTATCCTTTCCATATTTTCCTCATGGGTAGAATAAAGTATCAACATACAAAGCAATCTATCAATTTTTCAATACACTTTTAATAGCTCCTATATTAATCTACCTTATGTTTGCAGCAATAAGCCAATAATGTAGAGAATCGACTATGCACATGCAAATATGCAGAATCGCGCTGAATATTTCAACCCAGAATATGAAACTTCAAGCAATACTTTATTTAAGCCTTTTAATAATTAGTGATGTGTTACAATATAGCAAATTCCAATTCATTGGATTAGAAGGATTGTTTAACCTGCTAATACATCATAGACAATCACTTAATGATCATTATACTAATAATAATTAATTCATTATCGTAGCAGCTGGCAAAATGAGATCAAAATGCGCAGCCTATCAAAATTTCTTTTCTTGAAATAGGATTTGTAAGTTTAAGCTAATCAAATTGTTTAAGCCATTTAGGTCCATTGTAAAGTCCCTTTTAGTAAGATACTTTCAATTTAAAATATGCTATCCTAAAGGTGATAAAGGCAAAGTGAATATGAACATTTAATCTCAACTTTAATTTCGACAATATCATTGTTATGACTCATGAATCTAAGAAAATTGCAGTACCGGTCGAACGATGATATGTTCATTTGGGAGGTTATTAGCTATACACCGTTTAAAAAAATAATAATGTTATTGTATGTTTTTGCACATCTTAACATTATAAAATTAACCAGCAACGATTCTTATTCTATCAACTTCCCTTTAAATTAGATAAAATATCATCAAGTAATAATAATTACAACTAAACTCATTCTTACCGTTGTTATTTGAGTTGCATCCCAAATCCAAACACCTCCAATTTCCGGCTGGACTGCACTTACTGTTAAAAAGATAAAATATTAGATATTGTAAACCCATACCATCGCAAGACTATCTGAAATCTTCAACTATTAATGAGTAGACTGAAAAGCTCTGCTCGCATTTAAACAGTTTATCTTAATGCTAACTAATTTAGTGAAGGTGAATAAATAAATTGGCAAATTTACTTACCATCTGTGGCACAAACCAATGAGTTTTACAGTATTTACTGGGAATTTCTTATTTTGGTATTCACACGTATTGGTTTCTATAATCAAATCAAGTATTCTTCTTTTAAAAATGCCAATAAATATTACTTGAATCCACTTATAGACTAACGTAGATATTGAATCGGGTAATGTGAAGTAAATTTTGAATTTTAACCTCAATACATAATAATAGTTAAAATCAGCCTAGTCTATTACTCAAAAGCTCCAGTCATAATTGACAAATTGTGGAAAATAAATATCTACTAATTGTCAGTTTTCTACTTCTATTCTACACAATGAAATAGAAATACTAGTTTCTAAACAGTATCAAATCTTAGTGACCCATAGCTTACCTAATGGGCAAGGTTTATTGGTACAGACATATTTTCCATCATTACATTTGCTAAAATTAAACGAATCATAGTACATAGATATATTAAATAATAACAGTAATACTAGTATCCATTTAATTCATCCAAATCTAGCTTTAGCCTACGTATAACTTACCACTTTTCGCACTTCTTTTCCTCAACATGGCCATGGGGGATAATTTGACCATTAGTCAGAGTGCAGTTTTGGAATTCTATTCAAATCGATGATATTTTAGCTCAAACTTGCTTGTTAACGACATTCATTTTAATCACATTATAAGATGAAGGCTACTAGTAGGATTACGAGCAAAAGGAACGTACTTGGTTTTAAGCATTCAGAATTCACATTGCATTTCCATTGGCCATCATTCATGCAAGTACTATTTCGAAAATAATTTTATACAATTATTACTCATAGTCGCTTCAACAAAGGTATAAAATGATGGCATTGCAGATTGATATAGCATCAGAATGGTGAATTGTAATTTTATTCGTTACCATTGACGGCATTTTTCTTCCATCTTATAACCAGTTGGAACTTGTTGACTTCCAAGAGCACAAGTTACATTACGTGGAACTGAAATAGAACATATTTGTTTACCGTAGCGGTCTAAATTTAATTATACGTACAAATACCGAAACTAGAGCTGAAATATTCACGATGAATATTCCTAATGAACTTTTGTCCTATGTAATATTTACTTGTAGGAGTACAGTTAGGCTTGCGTTGACAGTACCAACGAGCAAATAATCCGCAGATACTATAAGGGAGGTAAGTAGGGTAGTTAGTGACGTTTGACAGGTAAAATATTACCGTAAGTATAATATTCCTACCATCTCTGGCAATCCTTTTCTACAACAGCCGTAATGTTGTAGTTCTTCTTTTCATAAACACATGGAGCTAATGGATTAGCTGTAATGAAATAGTAGAATTTTAGATGAGAATACAACAGTTACAGTACGTGATTATTTTTCTTAATCAAAATGGAGATTTTTCAATTACTGCTGGGTGGAGGACAGAATTTCCTGGTACATGCCCATCTTCCGTTATTGCAGAAACTAAAGATATAGCAATAGACATATTTTATGAGCAAATAGGTAGTTTAAGTCTGGTTCAGTATAAGCTACATGATTCCTCGTAAACTGTATGGCTAAAATTTGAACTTACCAGTCATTACAATCTTGCTTTCTGGTTTGGCCGTGGTTGAAAACTTGATCCATGAAACGGCATGTC